TATATATTGCTGATTTTGGTGCAGTGCTGGGTGCAGCTTCTTCCACAGACCATCCAACACCCCGAAACAAACATAATAAGCAGCAACTAATAGGGGCCCAAGCACTCGCAGTAAAGATCAGAGAGTGACACCCTGTGGCCAGCTTTGATCACACCACCCCAAACACACTGGACTAATGTTGACAAATACAAAGAAAACCGAGATCCCCTCTTTCACTTATTCTCTCCTGTATTTTCAGTCCTTCATTTCTCTCTTACTCCCTCTCTCTCTCTCTCTCTCCATTCATACAGGACTAGAGTGGGTAAAATTCCACTCCTCTAGCACCCCCCTCCTTTTTTCCCCCATGAGACACTGCACTCGCTCACAAGAGCCCAGCAACCACTCTTATTAACTGACCTAGAGGGGGAGGGGTGTGTGTGTGTGTGTGTGTGTGTGTGTGTGTGTGTGCATTTGTGTGTGAGAGGGTGTGAAATGCTTGAGAGTGAAGACGAGAGCGAGCGATATAGAGAATTAGAGAAAACGAGAGAGAGAGAGAGAGAGAGAGAGAGAGAGAGAGAGAGAGAGAGAGAGCACTCATCTAAAGGTTTACATAGTATTAAGAGGACCACATTCCGATTGAAAAGCAAAAAAATGTCCAATGGCAGGACATTACAGCAAGACGTATGCGATATTTTCCCTCCTAATAAAACCAAAAATACATATATATAATTGTCCAAAATGAGCTGTTTTAATGGAGGGAGAGAGCATGTGGGTGTATGACTGACTTTCAGTGTTGTTTTCTAACAAGAGGGAGTTCCTTGTTCTTGGCCATGGGAAAGAGAGCAAGAGGAGAGAGAGAAAGAGGGAGAGAGAAAGAGAGAGAAGGAAAAAAAAAGAACAAGGAAAGAAAAAGAGGTGAACTCTTGGGGCCCTCGTCACCACCCCCCCGAATGAGAGTAATATAATCCAGATGTACTCTCTCTCTCTCTTCCCTTCTCTTTCTCTCTCCCTCTCTCACAATGCTATAAAATGCTTTCTCTCATTACAGATTTGTGTGTGTGTGAGAGAGAGAAGTGTGGTAATCCGAGAAATGCAATGTATTGTACAGAAATGCAAAGAAATGACTTTATGTAGTTAAATGTAAACCCAAAAAGAAACATTTTACAGTTCTGTACATGAGAGAAGGTGTGCATGAAAGACTGAAATAGGAGCAAACTGGTGATTCATACTTAGTTGCATGATTGCTGCAGTTTGCTACTCTGTACAATACTCTGAACATATTAAACCATGTTTGTAATCGCATTATGAAAAAAAACTGCATTTTGGCAACAGAAGGAGAGGCCCTGTTCTACAAGAGCCTCAGGCAGCCACCAAGCCCCTCCCCCTCAAAGAGGCCCCTCCCCTTCCACCCTCCTCCTGCCCCACCACAGGCTCCTTCCCCTCTAACACAGCCAGGTCCATAAGTATTTGGACAGTGACACAATTTCTGTAATTTTGCTTTTGTTCACCACCACAAGGGATTTGAAATGAAGCAAACAAGATGTGACTGAAGTGCAGATTTTCAGCTTTAATGCAAGGGGTATAACAAAATATTGCATTAACCATTTAGGAATTACAAACATTTTAAGCAGTTCTATGGTCAGGTGTGGCCTGTTCCTGTAACAAATTAAGGAGATAAAAGGTCTGGACTTGGTTCCAATTGTTGAATATGCATTTGGTAGCTGTTCATGGGAGCTCTCAATATGCAGTCCAAGGAGATGTTGATATAAGTGAAGAGGGCTGAAAAAACAAAACCTATCAGGTTTAGTAGTGGCCAAATCTATAAGCATGAACAATTTGGTACATTCTTAAAAAGAAGAACGTGCGAGTGAGCTCAGCAACACCAAAAGGCCTGAAAAACCATGGAAGACAACTGAAGTGGATGATCGCATAATTCTTTCAGTGGTGAAGAAAAACCGCTTTGCAACATCTAGTAAAATCAAGGACATTCTAGAGCAGGTTGGCATATTATTGTCAAAGTCTGCAATCAAGATGCAAACCACTGGCAACACTCAAAAACAGAAAGACCATATTACACTTCGCTAGAAAGCATCAAAAAAAGGTGCCCACTTCTGAAACAAGATGCTTTGGACAGATAAAACCAAAATTAACTTGTAACCAAATGATGAGAAGAGAAGAGTCTGGAGAAGGGAAGGAAGGGTTCATGATCCAAATCATACCACATCATCCATCATAGATGGTGGACGTAGTGTTACGGTATGTATGACTGCCAGTGGAACTGGGTGTTCATTGGTGATGTAACTGCTGACAGAAGTGGCAGGATGAATACTTAAGTGTACAGAGCAATACTCTCTGCTCAGATTCAGTTAAATGCTGCAAAACTGATAGGACAGCACTTCATAGTACAGACGGATAATGATTCAAAACATACCGCAAAAAAACCCAAGAGCTTCTTAAGGCAAAGAATAGGAATGTCCCTAAATGTCACCTAACCTCAACCACACCGAGCATGCTTCTCACTTACTGAAGACAAAACTGACGGAAAGATGCAAAAACGGAGGCTGCAGTAAAGGCCTGGCAAAACATCTCAAGGGAGGAAACTCAGCATTTGGTGATGTCCATGGGTTCCAGACCTCAGGCAGTCATTGGCTAAGTTTACATGCAAAGATTTTTGCCAATCCGATTGAATACAATCTGATTACAGATTCAGACTGAGGTGTTTATATGCTCACTCTATTCAACAATCTGATAAAAACCTTCGTTTATATGCTCACTACAAGTAATCCGATGCAAAATGACGCGCATGCGTGGAGTAGCGCTTAGAGTAAACGTTACCATGACAGCGAACATCACGTGAGGTCCAGTCCGCGTGAGATGAGTTTCCAGTTGGCGCGCTTGTGTTTTAATTGCTTGAAAATGATGTCAGACTCAGGAAAACGTGCTTCACATGAAGTTATTAAAGAAGGCCGAGAGGAAGACGTCGTGTTCTGAGACACATAAGCTGGAAGTCCGTCCTACCGCCGTCTTTTAAATCTTAAACTTCGTCTCCTCTGCAGACCAGTTTCTGCTCCGCCATGTTGAATGGTACAAACTTTCGCCATGACGCGACGCACATGCGCAGAACATACTTACACGTTCTGGTTGGAATGTAATCGGATTCAGGCGTTTACATGGCTATTATTCTTCTACTTAACAGATTATTTAGAGGTTTACCCACCTCGTTCAATCGGATAGAAATTGTATTCCGAATGGCCTCAATCGGACTAGACTATTCCGATTGAGGTGTTTACATGGACCTGTTCTATTCCGATTGAGCTATTAGTCGGATTATTAACGGATTATCAGGCTGCAGGTAAACGTGGCTAATATTGCATTAACCATTTAGGAATTACATTTTACATAGTGCCACCATTTTCACAGCCTCAAAAGTAATTGGACAAACTAAAATAGTTATAAATACAAGAATTATTGTCAATACTTGGATGCAAATCCTTTGCAGTCAATAGCCACGTTTACATGCAGCCTGATAATCCGTTTATAATCCGACTAATAGCTCAATCGGAATAGAATACGTCCATGTAAACACCTCAATCGGAATAGTCTAGTCCGATTGAGGCCATTCGGAATACAATTTCTATCCGATTGAACGAGGTGGGTAAACCTCTAAATAATCTGTTAAGTAGAAGAATAATAGCCATGTAAACGCCTGAATCCGATTACATTCCAACCAGAACGTGTAAGTATGTTCTGCGCATGTGCGTCGCGTCATGGCGAAAGTTTGTACCATTCAACATGGCGGAGCAGAAACTGGTCTGCAGAGGAGACGAAGTTTAAGATTTAAAAGACGGCGGTAGGACGGACTTCCAGCTTATGTGTCTCAGAACACGACGTCTTCCTCTCGGCCTTCTTTAATAACTTCATGTGAAGCACGTTTTCCTGAGTCTGACATCATTTTCAAGCAATTAAAACACAAGCGCGCCAACTGGAAACTCATCTCACGCGGACTGGACCTCACGTGATGTTCGCTGTCATGGTAACGTTTACTCTAAGCGCTACTCCACGCATGCGCGTCATTTTGCATCGGATTACTTGTAGTGAGCATATAAACGAAGGTTTTTATCAGATTGTTGAATAGAGTGAGCATATAAACACCTCAGTCTGAATCTGTAATCAGATTGTATTCAATCGGATTGGCAAAAATCTTTGCATGTAAACATAGCCATTGTTGTTAAATTCTTGAATTAAAGCTGAAAGTCTACACTTCATTTCAAATCCATTGTGGTGGAGCCCAAATACCTATGGACCTAACTGTAACACCTCTTTTTCAGCCTATTATCATCCCTCAGATGTTCAGCTCTTCCTCCATACAGGCCCCTCCTTTTCCACCGTAGCCCCTCCCCCTCTGCATATATCTAAGCTACTCCTCTTCCAGGCACCGCCCCTCTACTACAGCACCTCCCTTTCATCTCATCTCCTCTACCCTAGCTCCTCCCCTCCACCTAGACTCCTCCTCTCCATCTTCTCCCAGAGCACCTCCCCTCAGCTCCTCCTCTAAATCTTTTCCCTGAGCTCCACCCCTAGATCCTCCCAATCGGCTCCTCCCCCTCCCCTTAACTCCTATCCTAGATCTTCTCCCTTAGCTCCACCCTCTCCACTCAGCTCCTCATCTAGGTCTCCTATCAGCCCCCCCCCCTCCCCCCCCCCTACTTTACCTCCTTCCACATTTCTTCTCCCCCTCCGCCCCAGGTTCCGCCTCTTTCCCGTGAAGCCCCTCCCTCACTCTCTCCCTCTCTCTCTCCGTCAGAACGCGCGAGCGAGCGCACTAGAGGTGCCACTCGCTTTGCACCGTGTCCGCGCGCGCGCGCCTGCCTATCTCTCCCTGGGTCTCTCTCTCTCGCTCTCTCTCACTCACTCCTTCTGTCTCTCTCTCTCTCCCTCCGTGCGTGCGTCTGTTTACGAGAGTGCCGCGCTCCACGTGCGTTGTACAGCGCGGGGCTCGCGCAGCAGCAGCAGCAGCAGCGATGAGCGGCGCGCCGCCGCGAGACCCCTTCTACGCCTCTCCGTTCGGCCCATTCTACCGGAGGCACGCGCCGTGCGCCACACAGCCGGACTACCGCGTGCACGAGCTCAACAAACGCCTACAGTCCCGCACCGAGGTGAGTTTACTGACGTATTTATTAACGTGAGCCAAAGAAAAAAAACTTTGACTGCGTGTCGATGCATAAAATCCACACGCATGAGGCTCAAACGGGCTCCTGTAGTCGTGAATGTGTTACGTTATTCCACACGTTCTGTCGCAGGAAATCAGAGATGCTAAGTTCAGTTAGAAGTGCGCCTACGTCACAATCAGAGCAATTAAAGTAAACTTTGATCTTTTGGCTCCGCTTCTTTCTGATTTGTTGGTTTAATTCGGCGCCGATTTGAATGTAAACTCATTGGGTTTAACCGCTAATGCCTGGTCCGTTAGTGAAGGCTCAGCGGACTGGAGTTCCACAGAAAGAGAGAGAGAGAGAGAGAGAGAGACTCACATAACAATACGATCACGACTCAAATGCGTTCACACTGTCCTTTCGAATCGCTTTCAGCGCTCTGTTTGCTAAACTGATCAGGTTAAAGACTATTGGATTGCTAATGAGTGGGATCGAATTAGCCCCATTTGAACACAAAGCAGTGGACTCTGCACAGAGGTGCTGCATTGGTTTGGAGGAATTCAGACTGGGATGGTTGTGTGATTGAAAGTGTTGCTAAATGTAAACCGCTATAAGGTTTACAGACTTGGTAAAAAAAAGGGTCTGTATGCCATTAGCTAATCAGCTGTGGAGGAAATGGGAGGAAGAATTGTCAGGAAAAAGTCTGTCTGGGGGATGTCAGTTTTTTTTAGACATGTGAGAGAGTGAGTTTCAGTGGGGGGTATAGATGTGTGGTTATGTGAGCTCACTGACTGTGTAAGGGGATGTACGTATGTGGGGTTTATAGATGTGTGTGGGGGGTGTAGGTGCGGGGGTGTGCACACATATGTATGTGTGGTACAGGTGTGTGTGTGTGGATGTAGGGTATATAGGTGGGGTTGCTCGTGCTTACTTGTGATGTGCAGAAGTCAGAGACCGCCCATTAATTTACAGTCAAAATAACCATTAAGTGAAACTTACCTACATGCTATTGTTACATCTGCCATTCTTTTCAGTTCTTCGAAGAAATCTGTACTGATATTTTTCACACCTCCAAAGCTCAGTCTTAGAGGTTGGTTAGATTTTCTGCTTTTTGCGATTCGAATGACCCACGTTCAGTGATGTTGAGGTCTGGACTCTGAGGTGGTCAGTGCATTGTTCTGAGACCACCTGCAGCTTCTTTGTTTAATTTGCAGCTGTGTCTGTTTCCTTTTCCTGGTATTAGCTTCTTGACAGATACACATCCTTTCAGACTCATAGTGCTGAGTTGTCTTCTCACAGTGGAGAGATGGACAGAAACACCTGTGGATGTTTTTAGATCTGAAGCCGCTTCATTTTCTCTTCTCTCTCAATGATCTTGCACAGTTGTTAATCTTTCTGTTCTGTTTCTGTTTATCATTTTTGAACGCCAGTTTTGGAAACTCCCGTTTTTCACTTAATTTGACTTTCCTCTTCATTACACAAGTGGAATATAGTACTTATAAATTCCTGAAAGTGAACAGCTTGAACAGAAGGGCTGTTTTGAATGGAAATTGGAGGGTGGTCTCTGACTTTTGCACAGTACTGTACAGAGGTGTGTGTGGTGAATGTGGGGTCTGTGAGGATTAAGCATGCTCTATTATTTGCTGATTGGTTAGGAAGCATGAGCGTGTGATGTGCTGGGTAACAGTGTGTGTGTTTATCCTGCAGGACTGTGATATTCTGTGGTGGGATGCGTTCTGCACTGAGTTTTTCGAGGAGGATGCAACGCTAACACTCTCATTCTGTCTGGAGGAGGGACCAAAGACATATAGTGAGTATTGTGGGGGGCAGTGTTGCAAACTTTATTCACCACATACTTCAACAACACCAGATCACATTTAACACATATATATATAATCACATTTATGTGCTGTATGTTGCACCTTATTAGTAATTAAATGGTCAAGATGTGCACAAAGTAATTCAGAGAGGTTTGACTGAGACCTACTGAGTCTTAATTGTTCACAGTAGGGCTGGGCAATCTAATAATTATTATTACTACAATGATAAATTATGTCACAAAATGCTTTTCTGAGCACATAATGGATATCATCAGTATTTAAAAACACTTCCCAATTGTATGTTTGATTACAAAGAAAGCATAATTGATCCTGTTTAGGGCTCATTCTACAGAAACGTCCACTTTTTTTATTTATCCATAGGAGTCACTGGTGTTACTGATCATCATTGGTGTTACATGTAAGGAAGGTAACACCAGAGACAGTAACACCAGTGACATTTTTAATGAAAAATGCATTTTACAAAATGGCTGCTGCAGAGCATCAAACCGCATGTTGTCAATCATGGAATATCCACTAAAATATGTAATTTAATCCATTTGTGTTCTATTTTTTTTTACAATTACCTAAGAATAAAGTAGGTCATACTAGTGACTTCAACTAAAAGCTTCATATGAAATCATGAGCTAAATGCAAAAACATCTGGTAACTGAAAAGACACAGTGGACTTACCATGTGCTTTTCTTGATAGATCTTCAAAAATAGGTAAAAGGAAGTAAAGTGATGTCATCAGTGTGATTTTTATTTCAAAATAAGAGATTTTTTGTTATGCAGTAACACCAGTGACATGATTCCTGGGGACCACAACTTTCATTATATATTTTATAATATTTACGTGGCATTTGTTTTCCAGATTTCTAGAATTCTAGATAATTGATTTTATTTTAAAATATAAATAAATTGTAACCCTAACATGTTTTTTATGTGTAATATATCTGTAAATGCTAGGGGCACAAAAATGGATGTTTCCATAGAATGACCCTTGTTGTGTTTAGTGCAGCTCAGTATGAACATTGTTGAATACAAATAAGTAGATTAATTCATGAAAACGTCTTGACGTATTGTGATACTACATTTTTGCCATATCGCCCACCTCTAGGTCACAGTGGTGGTGATAGGAACCGGACGCTTGAAGCGTCCCTAAAAGCTACCTCACAGAAACTTATTTCAGGAATTGGCTATGAATACGTTGCCAAATGCCTGAGACGTTCTTTTACAATAGTTTTAGATAAGCTTTTGGCCTAAAGTGTGTTTGTCAAAATACATCCATGGTGGAGAGGTACATGCAAGGCATTGTAAGGCAAAATGATTTTTCAGCTTTGCCAATTTTTTATTATTATCAACATTACACATAAAGACTCTGTGATGTTGTTTTGGAAGTGAATAAAAGGGAAATTTACAGTGTAGATATTGTGGCTCCTGGTTCCTGTCAGTAAGAGTTTGAGAGTTTAATGATTTCGCTTTTCATGCTCCACTCACAAATGCATACTTTCTTAGCTACTGTTGCGAGGTTGGACAAGCTTTCAGAACAGTGGTATAAATATGTAATCGTCAGGGAATCCGATTTTGGCAATAATTTGCTCAACACGTTTACAAGCACTTAAGTAATCTAATAATGGCACAACATGCATCCCTCAATAATCAGAAAGCTTGCATGTGCACCTCTACCGTTGCTTAGCAACTCACCAATAAACTCAGTAAAGAAGCTCAGCGCATGGCGTAAAATTCAAGCTTCTTGCCACAGTTTTCTTTTTTAACATGCAATCTCTTTACTGGTAAATATTTATTTGGGAAAATATGTGGCTCCAAATTGCACAGAGTGCTGTCAGTTGTCGCCATTTTAGGGGTATAGCGTTGAAATAGGTGTTTGATGTTTAGCTCTACTCTGTCCGGCTCTGTTTCTGCATGTGCACAGATATAGAGGAATGAAAGAAATCAGATTAATGGTATATGTGTACTGAGAAACCCAATTTCTGAGCTAAAATTCATTCTTTATTGGATTTCTTGAAATCTGATAACGACTTCGGTGTGATCAGAGTAATTGCAATATGCTGTTAACATGACCACTTGAATCAAGTAACTGCCGTACTGTTAGTGTGCATGCAAGCACATTCACTGATAAAAGCCCATTTAACCTAATTAACCTCTTTCGATTCCAATAATGTTTTTAGTAATGTTGATACAGTATACAGTGTGTTTCGATAGAAATGTCAATGATTTACAAGCCAGAAAAACTAGAGGTTCATCATCCTAGGTGAGCAAGCAAAGGCAGTTGTAGACAGTTTTTTAATATTAAGAAAGCCGCACTTGTGTTTTCACAGCAGAGGGTTCTCACGCCTCCCCTTTCACTCCTCATTGCTCGTTAGCAGCTCAACACACAATCACATTTCACACACAGAGTCCTTGTTCTTCTGATAACAGTTACGAGGAAAAACACTTTTATTACTTTAATTTAAAACATCTGAGGCGATTTCCATTTCACCAGTGGAACGGCCACTAGGGGGCCTGCAGAAAGAGGTTCATTCAGGTTAAGCTGGACTGTGTTGTAGCTAATTGAAACCTGGCAGGTTGGAAATGACAGTGAAGTTGCCACTGTGCTCATATTAGCTCAGTTACACAACAAAAAGTCTGTCTTGTCGCTCGCATGCATCATAAATAATTTGAACATAATCTCCATCTGTATATTTTGACAAATCTGAGCTGCACTACAGTCTCTTGTTTGGTTGAATGGAATTTAACCACCATCCCATCATTCTGTAAAGTCTGTAGCAACCTGGCAACAGTTGCTATGAAAGAATGCGTTAGTGGGTGGAGCATGGATGGGCCAATTAATTATTAATCACTTAAAAGATGTGGAGCGCTCTCTCTTTCTCTCTCTCTCTCTCTCTCTCTCTCTCTCTCTCTCTGTCTGTCTCTAACTGTTTCTTTCTCTTCATCAGTTTATTTTAAAGTAGCTTCTCTGGGCTGGCATGGCGATCTTGATCTCCTCCCCTTCAGCCTTCCTTTCCCTCTCTTTCTCTGTCTCCCTCTAATGTGTTTTAAATGTGAAGTGTGGTTTGGTCAGTGCTGTGGTCAGACTCTTAGTCCACACTCCTTTGTGCTGTTGGTTTAAAATCCGCTATGTTGCGAATGACAGAGATGTTTACCAACACTGTCATCATCACCCCTTCATCGTAATGCCATTCACAAATCCAGAGAGACAGAGCGAAAGGCAAAGGGAGAGTGAACAAGAGAGAGAAAGAGAAAGAGACAGAGAGATGGAGAGAGAGAAATGCAAGGTAGAGATATACTGAGCTCGGGGGGAGATAGAGATAGAGCAAGAGACAGAACGTGGTAGGCAGAGAGAAGGGGGGGGTAGAGAGAAAGATAGATAGAGATGAAAAAAAGACAGAGATGTACCTAGAGTGAGAGATGAAGAGAAGGAAAGAGAGAGAGACAGAAAGACAGTTAGAATGAGAGAGCAAAAAAGGCCTGAGAGGGAAAGACTGCTAGAGTGAGAGAAGAAAGAAAGAAAAAGAATGGGTGTGGAAAAGAAAGAAAAGAGCGAGAAGAAGCTTGAGATAAAGAAGGAGTATAAGAAAGAGAGAGAGATTAAGAGCATAAAAGAGAAACAGACTGAGAGAATGAGAGAGAGAAACAGGGAAAGAGACGGATAGAGAGAGTGATAGAGAGAGAAATGGAAAAAAGAGAAACAGGGAGAGAGACATATAGAGAAATAGAGAGAGGGAAACGGGAAGATAAACATGTAGAGAAACAGAGAGCGAAACAGGGAGAGACACAGATGGAGAGAGATAGAGAGAGAGAGAGAGAAACAGATAGAGAGAGATAAACAGGGAGAGAGGGAGAGAGAGAGAGAGAGAGAGAGATGGGGGCTTGATTTTGCTCCGTTCTCATTCTGAATGTATGGGGCGAGATTTGATTGACAGCTACGGGGTGTTTAAATAAACATGCCGCTTCAGACTTCACACACATCTACTGCCATGATTGACAACTGCAGAACACTAACAGTAGTGAATGTGTGTGTGTGTGTGTGTGTGTGTGTGTGTGTGTATGTGTGTGTTTGTGTGTGTGTGTGTATGCAGTCTATTGGACTTAATGCCTCTGGCTCTATTCACCAGGCTGTTTGTTTCTAATTCTAAAGGGACCACCAGTGTGACTGAACTTCCTGCCCCACTCATTCTATATGGACAAATAAACAAGGGTTCTTTTGTTTGTTTTTGCTTTTTTTTGCTAATTATTTATTTATTTTGTATTTACTTAAGGGTGAGCAATGTGTCAAATATGTAACATTGCAATACTTTTCACAGTACACAATAGCGATCGACATATGTACACTTGTATGTATGCAAAAGTTTGGGCACTCCCAGGCGAACGACACGCTTTGTTGTTTTTTAAGTTAACACCCGCTACAGAGAACACAATTAAATATGCCATTTTTCTGCAAATTTTAATTGTATTTATTTGCTGAATTTAACATACTGAAAAAATAAATAATAAACTTTAAAATGTGCTATAACAAAAAATGTTTTATTTATTTCCTGTACATTAAATTCAGCAAATAAATAAAAATTGCACACTAAAATTTTCAGAAAAATGCCACATTTACTTTTCTCACTGTAGAGGATGTTAACTTATTTTTCACTAAAAAAAAACAAAAAACAATAGAGCATGTCATTTGACCGGGGTGCTTAAACTTTCACAAACGACTGTATGTAGTTTTCTGAGGTTCGACCAAGTGTACCTACAAATCGTCAGGACCACATTTAAAAAAGAGAACAAAAATGAAAGCAGTGATTTTTTAAAAATTTGCTGAATTTTTTTAAGCCGTGCACTGGGGGGCGGAGCTTATTCTATTGTCTTCTATTATGGGTATTGTAGCAAATATCATGCCTAATCCACAACCATTTCTCTCTCTCTTCCTGTCCCAGCAATCGGACGGGCGCTCATCCCCCGTTTCTTCAGCACGCTGTTTGAAGGAGGAGTGTACGAGCTGTTTTTCGAGTTGAAACACACAAAAGAGTCGTTTAACAACTCCACCATCACTGTAGACTGCCACCAGTGCACCATGATAACGCAGCATGGCAAGCCTACATTCGCAAAGGTACACACATGTACACTCACACAGGTTCGCTTCTATACACTGTCATGTATTTATGGGTCATAGTTATGTCCCCATGTGTATTATGGATATAAAGTACCAATGTGTAATAATAATATGTCCCATATTGTTGCTGCCCAAAGAAAAAACATGTATCTCCATTTTTTTCACTTTGTTACTTTTCTACATCATTCGAGCTTGGCAGATTGTGTGAAGATTTTGTGATGAATGGACCAACAGAAATGCTCTAAAATAGCTTGGAATAAAACCTTTTTACATCTACTTGCATTAAAAGTAAAGAACATTTTGTGCTCTGCTGTGAAGTTACTATTTTGGAGATATTTGTTTTTCCTTCAACAGTATGTATTATATATATGAAGTGCCTATGTGTAATATAGTCTCACTACCTGCTCTAAAATGCGGGAGTGTGGCTAAAATAAGGCTCCGCCTTTAGATTAAAACTCTTTGTGTTTCAGAAGTGACTTGAAAACGTGGAATGGTACTTTTTGAAAGTTGTTTTATTTCAAAATTAAATTCATGATAAATAGAAATCTTTTAACTCCACTGTAAAAGAAATCAAAAAGGTCTTTTATAGAAATTCCTGCATTTTAGAAATGCAGGAATTACTTTCACAAGTTGAAATTTAGCAGTTAGGGTTTGGGACAGACACCTCCCAATAGAAAATACCCTATAAATAGATGATTATTTTGTATATCATCGCTGTCCAAAGAAAAACACCTTTCTTCATTTTTGAATTTCTACTTTTCATTTGAGTATGGCAGCTGTCGTTTACATTGAATGGAAGTTTTATGAAGCCTGGATCAATGGAAATGCCCCAGAAATGCTTGCAATAAAATCTTTTTACATTAACTTACATTGAAAGTAAAGAGTGTTTTTGCCTTCTCCTATAAAGTCTCTGTTTTGGAGATACTTGTTTTTTTTGGACAATATATTTGGCTTATTACTTTTACTTTCAAGTGATGTCAAGGGTTTAAATAGATCCATCAAAGATCTGAAATCTAAATACTAGGAAAACTAGAAAACTAATTGTTGTTTTTACTGTGACTACAGTTTGAACTTAGTATATATATGTAAAATTATATACTAATAGTGTATATACTAATTCTTACTATATAATTGGAATGTGGAATTGGAGTTATATGTGATTTTCTAGGCCTAACTAACCCTAAATAAAACCCTAACCTTTACAAGCACTTTAAGCACTTTACAAAGTGGGGACCGTGTTTTTGGTCCTCATTAATGAGGAAATGAGGATGTTTTATAGGTTTTTGTCCTGAAAATATACTGAAACATTTTTTGTCCTGACAGTGCAGGAAAACAAACACACATACACACACGCCAACTATCAACAGTGTGTAACTCGGCGGAGCTTTTGTTTGCCACGTTTCTATGTATACACACCCGCTCACATTTTCGCATATCTTCTCTCGTTCGTTTTCTCTTTCTCTCTCAGCACACTGATATATTCACATATTCTCCTGCTCTCTCGCAAGCCCTCACTCTCTCTCATCCTCACACACACACACACACACACACACACACACACACACACACACACACACACACACACACTGCACTGTGCGTTTTTAGCTCCCTCATTGTGAGCAGGAATGTGTTCCTCCTCATTGTGAATTCAGGGCTGAGCTGCACAAAACAAAAAAGGAAAATATAGCCCCCCTTCTCTCTCCTGCTACCCACCTCTCCCTCTCCTGCTAGTTCTCTCTCACTCTCTCTCTCGCTCTCTCCTCTCTCTGTCTCTCTTTTCCTCACACACACATACACACACAAACCCTTCAGTCTCTCTTCTTTCCTCTTTATCCCTTATAAAAATGAGAACAGCTGGTAGGTTAAAGTATAAAATCATGTTAACACGTGTTACTGTAAAACGCTTGGGTGGTTTTGTAAATTGCAGAGCACTAGATCACTATTATTATTGTTATGTGCCGTATGTATCTAATGTATACATGTAATTCATTCACTGTAAACAGTGTCATGTATAGTCAAAAAAATACTTCAACCATACTTACTAACGTTGCTAACGATGGATAAGAGCTAATGGCAGTAATGAACGACTACCACTACTACTATCGAAGAACTTGTGGTGAAATCTTTTAATCTTTCAGTATTATGCTACAAATCCAGTCACCTTGACTTAGCCTACTACTACTAGAAAATTCAGTGACCTGGATACTGAAAACCCTCACAGTCAGTTAGAATTACACAAAATAGGCTCAAAGGAGCTCCTCATTCAAACTGATGTTGCTAATGATTAGTGAGAGCTAATAGTATTACAAGTGAAGGACTCCTGATGTAATTCCAGATTTTTCAATGTTTCAAGTCCAGTCACCTTGCCTTTCTACTAATAGAATATTCCATGAGCTAAATAACTGAAGACTTTTACTGACATATTAGCAGTCAGCTAGCATAGCAAATGAGTTCATCTGCTGGAATGAGTGTTCATTCATTTTTATTTTTCGCCTGAAATATTTCTGTAAAAGCTTATCTTTGGAGGCTTGATTACCTAGTGGATGTATTTGTTTTAATATAGTTACTAAATTACAGTAATTATACTTTTAATTAGTTTAATTGTTTCTAATTAAGTTTTTAGCTCTTTCATTTTTATAGCCGATACACAGTGAACATGCTACCAAAGGAAGTGAACATCCTACCACATTTCACAACATCCTACCAGAGGAAGCTAGTAGCAGGCTAACTATTTACTACTAGTTATTAAACTTGTATTTTTGCTTATATGGTTAATTATGAGTGCATGTTAGCTATAGCTAGTTAGCTATTTAAGCTAAAGTTTAAAGTAAGCTAATTAGCAGCAATCAACCTAGTGATTCCTCACAGATTGAACCTTCTTTCTGTAACTTACAGTCATTGTTCGACCCAGTTATTCGTGTTTTACCTGAGTAATTCTATTTATTAATAGTTTTGCTTATATTTAAGTCTTATGAGACCTAACAGTAAGTTGTGAGATTTGGTGAGAGTTCAAGCTGAGTGGCTTAAAATAAGGTACAGCGAACCTTTGAGAAAGCTCCTCAGTACAGTATGAAGAAAGACTTCCAATGATTGAGAACTAAAATGAGTAGATTGGAAAAGCCTCAATGAAAAGTGTTGATATAATCTAAATAACAATGGCAGAACTGAATGTATAGTTCTCAAATATGACTGTATACCAATGCTAATGTCTCCATCACTCTCCGGAACAGAGCCGTATCCAACTTTGCTCTTTAGCGAATTGACATTTGTGAATTAGATATTGATTTCCAAAAACTTATACTCGAGCTAACTATTACAAATACTATTTCTGTGTATATATATATATATATATATATATATATATATGTGTGTGTGTGTGTGTGTGTGTGTGTGTGTGGAGGCATTGATTAGAGCGTGTCTGCTGGGATTACATCTCTCCTGTTGCCATGCCAACCTCGCAGTTACCCTCCGTTCCTCCGGCAGCAGAATGTTGGGGTTCAGAGTTCCAAACAGCGAATTCTCCTCTGAAATTGCCAGTTTAATGAGTAAATCATTTCACTTGGAAAAAAGCACAATTTCTGCAAATGAAAAAACAGAAGATGATTCAAAGTAGTGCTCACTGAGATCATTTTTTTTTGGATGCAGCTTAAGCCTAGCTTCAAACTGCATTTCACTTAGTGCATGCTCAAGTATGCTCAGTGGGAATTTTCAATACATTGAAAATCCTTTTTAACAGTCCACAGGGCATAAATAGTCCCAATTCAAGTAAACTGCTGCTACTAAACTGGAGGAAATATTGCCAAGATTTACTTTGTACATTAAATAAACAGTGGACTTCAATATGTCAATTAACAGTATGTTTCTTCTTTGAATGTGATTTGCATAGTGGGCCAGTTTTTACAACTGATTTGCATGGTTCATAATAATTCTAAATTAGGAACTCTTCATAACTGACATGATGTAAGGAAGGAAGAAGAAAACCAGAAGGAAATAAGTGAAAGGAACAGGAATTTTCAAAGCAATTTTCTAAAACATTTAGAGAAAATGAGACTACTAACAACCATGCAAGACCTGCTAGACCAGCAAAACTGTTGCAATCAGATAAACAGTGCTTTTATCTTTGAGAGAGAAGAGAAAATGAAGATCCACTCTTGCTTCAGATCTGGGAAAATCCACAGATGTTTCTGTCCATCCTTTCACTGTGAGAAGACAAAGAAGATGCTGATACACTCAACACAATCATCTGGCCACCCCAGAGCCTGGACCTGAACGTCACTAACATATTATAGCCCCCTGCCCTCTACCACCTTAATCATTGGTCAGTTTGTGAGCACAGCACCACTCTTGACCAGATAATATTCAGGTGGTGGACTGAAATGGATGTGGTATTCAACTTGGCTGAGAACAGTCAACCAGCCAAAAACATGCAGTCAAAAGCAGCCGGTCAGTTTCTGACCACTGATGAAGGGCCACAGAATGTCTAACACAAATTGTGCATCAAAAGATGGGCTACAGGCTCAAGATAGGTGTTTCTGATAAAGAGGCCAGTGAGTGAATATCAGTGGAGCACACTTGGCTTTTCAGTGTTTAACCGCTTAAAGGGTCCAAATAACAGAAACATGGCAGTTTGTCCAGTATGTATCATGTAAACAGTGTACATTTTTAAAATGTTCCCTTCACTCCCAAGTCACTACAGTTCTTATAAGGGAACAAAGCTGCAGAAATGACATTGAATTCATCATAGCTGTGATGTCACACTTATTGGATTGGAGCATTGTGGTGTTGGAAAGCAGTTTTCTAAAGGATTCACATGCCTGAAAGGAGTGGCTGAACATTTTTCTCTGTCATCCCTGAGGATTTCAGTCTGAACTTAACAGTTCGATCCACATTTCAGCCCAGGCTGTTTTTTGAACAATGACAATGCGGAGCAGCCAATCAGAAGAGAATCCATTTACATATATACAGTGACCAAAACAGCCTGTTGAATTCTAAGGGATAAAAAAAGGTTGGAATTACTACTGTTTTTGGTACTTAATAAGAAAATGAGCCATTTAACAGCACATATATGCATATCAATACTTAATTTAAGCTCTTTTTTGCGCATCACATACTCATTCTGTGCTCGTTCCACAGGTGTGTACGGAAGGCCGTCTGATTTTGGTGTTCACGTTCGATGACCTCATGAGAATCAAAACGTGGCACTTCACTATCTCGCACTACAGTGAGCTCATTCCTCGCAGTGTGTTGGCTGTTCACGTAAGTAAAATACTGTTAACATAATTCAAACACTGTTCACATGAGTCGTTCACGAGTCAGGCTTGGTTTATGTAATTAAATATTGTGCGTTAAAGTCCGCTGCTGATCACAAGTCAAGAGGTGTTCATGAATAGCATAGTTCGAGAATAGTAGTTGGAGGTTCACAGGTCAAATATTGTTCATATGAGTCAAATATTGTTCATTAGTAAGATTTCACTACCAATATAGGTCTTGGGTAATATGTGGCTATTCATGAGTCAAATACCATTCAAATGAATCAAATATTGTTCATGAATAATATTTCACTAATAATATAGGTTGTGAGTATTTGGCTGGTCATGGGTCAAATGCTGTTCATATGAGTCTGATATTGTTGACGAATAGTATTTCATTAGTAGCATAACTTGTGAATTGTGTTTGTCTATAAGTCAAATGCTGTTCATAGGAGTCAAATATTGTTCATGAACAGTATTTCACGAACAACACTGTATATGATAGTAGGCTATACGGCTATTCCTGCGTTATATACTGTTCATATGAGTCAAATATTGTTCACAAATAGTATTTCATGAACAACAGGTTGTGAATGGCGTTTGCTATTCATCAGTAAAGCTGGGCAGTATGACAATATTTATCATCAATTGTGATAAATTACATCATAATATGCATTTCTGAGCTATATTGTGGAGATCGTCAGTACTTAATAAAACCAACTGCATTGCATCCAAGTGCGCTACAAATAATTAGATTCATAGTTTTGATAGTATTTTTAAAATATGCACTACTTTGTCTGTTCTAACTTATCAGATGTCAGAAAAAATAAATATTGTGATATGTTGTGAATCGTAAAACAACTTCCTGAAGTATCGTGATATTACATTTTGCCATATTGCCCACCTCTATTCACAGGTCACATATTGTATGTACAAGTCAAATATTGTTATGAATAATATTTCACTAACAGTATAGCTTGTAAATAGTATTTGGCTGTTCATGAGTGAAATAATGTTCAGGAATAGTTTTTCACAAACAGCACAGTACATGAATACTGTTTGGCTGTTCATGAGTCAGATACGGTTCATATGAGTCAAATGTTATTCATGAATAGTATTTCATGAGCAACATAGTTAGTTTAGTACTGTTCTCTTGAGAATGTATTGTGTGTGATAATGAACACTATAAATCTAATGATTTATACATTTTTGAGTGTTTGAACTGTCTGTGTGCATCAACAGATTGTGCAGAATTTTAAAGACAGGATCTATGCAACATAACAAGAACCAAAGTCTGCCAGAGGCTGCATCATTTTATCATTTCATACAGGATAGAAACAGTTTGCTCAAATACGGGACTGTAATTATTACAAGAATCATTTTTTGAAAATGAAGTCTCATTCTGACTGCTTTAGGTAATGTTTCTTTTGTTCTGTGGAACGCAGATTGTCATTAGTATTTTTGTGTTAGTTTACAAGCAGCCAGAATATTATATTGACGCTAATAACGTAGATTCGGATGCTTGCGCTACAACAAAATTGCTCTGCGTTATTTTTATCAATCAAGGTGAAACCTTTTAGTGCCGCTGTTGGAGTGTTGCTATGGCAACCTCTCCATTAATGAATTAGAGACGTATCGGGCCCGAGTACCGGGAGAATAACAGACGGAATAAATGGAGTTTGTGTGTGTGTGTGTGTGTGTGCATGTGTTTGTTTTCCTGCCAGGCACAAGACCCTGGAGCTCTGGAGCAACTGTCCAAAAACATCAGCAGAGTGGGACTAACCAAACTTACACTGAACTACCTCAGAGTAAGACACACATACACACACACTAGCATGCAGGTCCTCTCTCTTCCTCTCTCTCTCTCTCTCTCTCTCTCTCTCTGTCTTTATATATATATATATATATATATATATATATATATATATATATATATATATATATATGAGAATAATGAACAGAGCAGTAGATTATTCCATAATGACTGATAAAGCTGTATAATGTTAAGAATGAAGTTATACTGAAATAAACATCCTCACTGCCTTGAGTTTGAAATGTATTGATCCAATCTCAGTCAGATAACTTGCTATAAATAAAGAGTAACAGTTTATTTATTTTGTTATTTGCAACTTGTTGTTGAAATGTTGAAAAAACATGTTAAAATACCTTTTGGTGTCAAGCTTATAGTCTTTCGGTCTACACTGTACAAGTTAAAATTGAACAAATGACTAATTATTAATATGACAAGAGATTCCAATTTTTTGAAGGCTAGTGTATTTGTAATATTTGTCAGTAAATATTATGTAATATTTGTCTGTGTTTAAACCTAAACTTAACCCTAACCGTAACCCTAACCACTAACCATAACCTCAGTAACCAAAAAGAAGTGGTTACTCTTCATGTTTCACAATGAATCATTAAGCTTTTGTTTAAAATTACTTGACAATGTGAGGACCATTGTGTAGGTCCCCGTGTTGTAGGTTTTTCTCCAGTTTTCCTACAAGTGAGGACATTTTTGTCCTGAAGATATATAAAAACAAACACAAAACATACACATGCACAAGGTTGGGATGGTTACTTTAAAGATTCTGGTACAGATTACAAACATGTAAGACACAGACTTTTAATCTGTAACCAAATGCAAAAGATTACTATATTAAAGTTATATAATCATGGTACTTCCTATTACATTTAGATTACTTATATAATTGTAGAAGAAGAGAAACAAGTTGAAACTGCACTCTTGTTGCAAAATTATAGATTATTGGTGAGTTGATTGGCTGGGCTGTTAACCAAAGTCAAAAGGTCAGTGTGACGATGCTAGTCAGGGCAGCCGAGCGCGTTTGGCTGTCCAGTGGCATGGCATGAGTGGCTGTTCTAAAAGATGCGGTGGCACTTCACAGTTCTCGGAGGAAGCATGTGCTAGCCTTCGCTCTCCTAGCGTTGGTGGTATCATGTGATTGGGGGAGTCCTAACTAGTGGGTGGAATTAGGAACAACTAAATTGGGGAAAAAAAAAACTTACTGAGAACTTACTTATTCACTTGTGTTCTATCTCCAGTAATGATCATTTACACATATTAATGTTTTTTTTTCATCAATGGTCCAAAAACTACTGAAAAAAAGAAAACAAGCGTGAAAATGAAACCGACTTTACTGCCTGCAGGGCGGTTTTTGTGTTTCGTAATTCGTCTGTTTCATGTTATTCTTCTTAATCAGTATTAATATTCGCTCTCTTTGGCACATTAGCAAAAGTTTGAATAAAAAGCCAGTCACACTGTCAGGAAAAAGACACTGTGCAGGTACATTTTTCATCAATCATCAAGGTACAAACAACGTAAATATACCCTCAAAGGTACAACAATGGTTTTAAGGTCCAACTGTGTACCTTAAGTTTTTCCCAAGGAAAAGGTGCATATTTGTATCCTTTTATAACCTAATTCTTTAAAATAAAACAATAAAATAAAAGGCTGTAGACAAGACAGGGTGTTTAGAGTCACTACAGCTTAAAAAATATTTGCAATAAATTAGGTACAATTATGTTCCCTGGCTAAAGCTACTGCCGACGTACCTTTGAGGGTTCAACCCCTGTAACAGGAGGGATATCACTCCAGTGACAGTTTAGTCATGAGAAAAAAAAGAGTTTACTTCCAGATCAGAATCTGGCATTATGGAAAATCAGGTTAAATTCCTGATTAAAATATCTTTGGGAAAATGCTGCAGATCTTAGCTCTACCAATAAAAAAATAAAGCACTTACTATTCTAACTTTACTACTGTACATCTCTATATATTGGCCAAATAAAAGACTGTGCTGCTGTGTGAGGGGGATTCTTTAAAATTCTCTTTTGGTAGTGGTCCCCACCGCTGTTTTCCCAAAATGAAAAGCTCTTCAAATTTACACAATCCATGTGACATATCCATCATTCAGAATGACGAATTTTGGCAAAAGGCAACAATTATGTGTGTTTGTGGGTTTAATGTAATTCTGCTGGTAATCAGTCTGTTTTTTGTAATGAATCTGTAATTTGATTACTGGCTTTTTTTACTGTAACTGTGACGGCACATGCAAAACAGTTTTGCGTATTACATTGTGTGTGTGTGTGTGTGTGTGTGCACATGTGCAGCTGTGTATGATTCTTGAGCCAATGCAGGAGTTGATGTCGAGGCATAAAACGTACGGCCTGAGTCCACGAGACTGCCTGAAAACCTGCCTCTTTCACCAATGGCAAAGAATGACAACACCACCAGGTATCTCTCTCTCTCTCTCTCTCTCTCTCTCTCTCTCTCTCTCTCTCTCTCTCTCTTTCTCTACATGCACGTGTACCCATGCAAACACGTTTTTTGCTCTTTGTCGGAACCATTTTTCTTGCTTTCATTACCCCCCAGCCCTGTCTCAAGGGAATAATAACAAAAGAAGCACTGTTTTTTTGTCTCACTTTTTTCAGCCTTTGTTTCTTTCATTGTGTTCTTATTTTTAACGGGTAAATAATATCATTACATTTACAGCAGCTAGTTTCATTCATTGTAAACATATTTTAGATTCATGATTAACATTTCAAAGTCCGGAGTGCAGTTCGTCGGGGGTATTGTGAAATTCCGCAACAACAGTCAGACTAATTAATGAAGCTCGTGACCTTGGGTTTGTTATTTGTATGCTATTTCACTGTGTTTTAAACATAATAACCCCCTTTTGCTCAATGACAGGCCTGAAAAAGAAAACAAAAAACACTCCCCGATTCTCTGTCTCTCTCTCTTCCTTTGCATTTTAACTTGAATCTAACATTATTAGGAATGAAATCTCTGTCAACTGTTGACTGGTTTATGTTTGTAATCATTAATCATATATGACCCTATGTCCATTTTATATAATTATCATGCTTGTTTTATTTAAATTCTTATTTCTTTGTTGGGGTTGAATTCTTGAAAATGATCCTGTCAGGATTTTTTTCTCTGTTGTATTGAAGAAGATACATCTTTCCCATTGTTTAGGCCCTCAGGAGCTGTTCTAAAGGCCTAAGGTGTCAGATTATAATTAGAAAATAATTAGGAACTGATGGTGGAATCAACCAATCAATTTGATGAGAAAGAATATGACTTTAAGCCTTCTGGAAGGCTGACATGTCACTTACTGCGAGTTCGAGGGGTAGCCTGACCAATGCGTTGCTGTCAGATGTTAGAAATGGAAACCAGTGACAGCTCGATACTAGATCTAGAGCAGCCAAAAAATGTTCAAGTGATTTGCTGTTAGCTAAGCACTAACATACTACTAGAGTCCCATAGGGGTCCTACCAGAAATGAACATTATTGTTGAGGTTGTGTCTATCCTTAATTTTTTGACAGTTTTTTTTTGAGTTTTGAAAGTTCGAATTCGAACTGAACTAAACGTCTGGCTCTAAAAAGTCAAAAATAGTACACATCATCTATAGAGAACACATTTCTGCACTTCATTTTAATAAACATTTACTGTTTATTTGCTCAATTTAACATATTAGGGGATATAAGAAGACAAAAAAGTTGCAATTTTGCAAAGAAGTTGGTGTTTTTTAAACTTTTACTTGCAGAAAAATGTCATATTTAATGTTATTTCCTGTAGATTTTTTGTTATTTTCTTATTTTCACTTAGAATATCATAGGGTATTCTGGAATGGATGTTGCTGTTAACTGACTGAAAATATTTTCATATTATTTCAGTTGGACCCTCGCCCAACTTTAAGACAGAAATTTTTCAATCAAATTCCAAAAAATGTAAGTGTATCTCAGCCATCAATCCAGTAATCCATCCAGTCTTTCTTTCCATTCATCTACCCACCCATCCATCCATCCACCCATGCATCTGTCCATGCACCCACCCACACATCCATCCACCTGTCCGTCCATCCACCTAGACACCCACCCACCCCTCCATCCATGCGCCCACCCACCCATCAATCCATGTACCCACCTACTTATCCATGCTCTCAACCAGGCATCCATCCATCCACCCACCCATTCCGTCCATCCATCCATCACTCTACTCACTCATCCATCAATCCAATCCACCCATCCATTCATCCATCCATACACCCACCTATCCACCCATCCATTCATTCACCCACCCATTAACACATCCATCCACCCATCCTGCATATTTGTATGTTTCTATTCAGAGAGTGCACTGCTGAGTGCAGTTTATCTTTTTATATTCAGCTGGTGTTTGTATGCGTTACACTTTTTCTTTTTTCTGACTGACAGCAGAACCAGCCAAACCAACAGCAAAGAGAAGAAGGAGGCGGAACTCAGCCGGCAGCGCATCCAATAGCAGCGCAGGAAACAGTAAGAAGCGCAGCCCAGCCAACAGCTTCAGCCTGCCCACACAGGTAAATCTACACACACATACAAACTAGCGTATATTCTCTGCCTGTCAAAAGTTTGGGACACATTGCTCTTTAGAATGCTTTTAATACAAATAACAAACTTTTAATACAAAATTGGCTTTGTTGGTTTGCAATGACGTGTTAAAGACTAATCAGATGTACTTTTATATTTAAGACAATAACAAAAAAACCTTAAAAAAAAAACCTGTAAGTCCAACCAAAGAAAAATCCAAAAACGTTGGGACAGTAGGTGAAATGCTAATCCATACAGAAAGCAGTGATTAGTCAATTCTGTTCAACCTGTATTAAATTGATAACGGTACAAAAACCTGATATTTGATTTGATTACCTTTTATTGGTACTGCCATTCATTGTTTTTTTTTGTTTTTGAAAAGATATACTCATTCCAAATTTGATGCCTCCAACACATTCTAAAAGATTTGAGACAGGTGTATGTTGACCAGTGTATTACACATCCACACTGTGTGATTACACTGTCATGGTGTTGTAACACATGCAGATTGTGACTTGCAAATAAGCATGCGCATCTTTAAAAAAGACCTCATCTAGGAGACAAATGTGTATATGTCTTCCAGCATTAATGGTGCCTTCACAGATGTCCAAGGTACCCATGCCATGGGCACTGTAATACCCCCTTACCTTAACACACTCTGGCCTTCGAACTTTACGCTGGTAACAGTCCGGAGGGTACTTTTCTCCTTCGGCCCAGAAAATTTAACGCCTGTCATTTCCATCAATGATCTGAAATGATTATGAGTTTGAGGTCAGAGAACTCAGCGGCTTTTCTGGACATTGACACATGGCTTCTGATGTGCATAGTACAGTCTTAATTTGCATTGCGTTTGTGGATGCAGTCACACAAAATACTGTGTTTATCAAAGTATTGCCGAGTCCATGTGTTGATATCCATCACAGAGGCATGCCGATTTTTAATGCAGTGCTGTCTGAGGAATCGGAGGTTGCATGCATTTGTGGCTTCGGCCTTGCTCTTTAAGCACAGATATATCTGTGGATTCCCAAAATCTTTTAAAGTCCTTAAACTGTTGGATTATTCGCTGAGGCATTTGGTGGTGAACCTTGACCCATCCTTGTACATGGAGCACTAGGCCTTTCCTGGATGCTCCGTTTTTACCCAACAATAATTAAACGTTGCATGTTTAAGATATTTGTTGAACATCCGAACGTTCCCAGTCTGGAAATGTCCCTGTCCCAACTTTTTTGGAATGTGTTGCAGAAAGAATGCATTTATGTTTACAAAAAAAATCTCCTCCAGTTAAACACAGGCTATTCTTTAATCTGCAAAGTTATTGAAAGGACAAACTTTTGAAGGACAGACTTCACACTCAAGCATGTACACAGATACAAGTACACGTTTGCAGTTGTAGTTAGAATACTGCTCATAAGAACGTTAGTAAGATTGAACACTGTATGAATGAGTGTGTGTGTATGTGTATGTATGTGTGTGTGTGCATGAATGTGTGAAAAATAGATTAGAATTAGCTACAAGAGAGCAGCCCTGTTGTCCTTAAATGTTTTTCATATCAAGTTTTAAGTAGACTACTTGAAAGATATCAAGTTATTTATTGAACGATTTGAAAAGATTAATAATGTACACTCTTTAATTCATTATTTCTATTCACTGTTCAGTAAGGTTTGTTAAGATATGCTCCTAATTTGAACAAGAGATTTATATTGTTTAATTGATGATGTCATATTGAGTGCTTGCTAATGTGCTTTCATCTAACTGGTCTAATTGATATGTTTGTAATTGATAGCAATTAGTCGTAATTGATTTGATGATAATTAGTACTGTCCGTCTCTGGTCCCCAGCCCAAACGTGTCGCCGGGGAAACGAGGGGTGGCGGGTGGCTGGAGGCGGAGCTTAGGTAGGTGACTGACACGTGCAGATGGTTATCACACAGCATGTGCTGCCTTAACGAGCTTATTAGCAATGCAAATGAGCTTAATTAGCAGACATGTTGTAGCTATGCTTTGTCTGAATGAGCTAATTAAAGAGCAAAGAGATAGTGTCTGTAGACAAGAATGTATGTGTGTGTGTGTGTGTGTGTGTGAGTGTGTGTGTGTGTGTGTGTGTAAAATGTAAGTGTGAACATATTATTTGTTCATCCTTCAGATTACACTTTAAATGCACTTATACAGTTGTGTGGCATGTGCTTGCATTAGAGCTAATGCATATTATGAATAAATATATATATATATTATAGATTATATTTCAGTAATACATATGTAATATATATGTAATTACACTTAATATAAAGTTCACATTGATTCCCATTGGTAACAGATTTTGTATTTTTTCCTCTCCTTATTTTTTTTTTTCCTTCCTATCTTTCTTTCTCTCCTTCCTTCTTTGTCTTGCTGTCTCTCTCGATCTCCCTCTTTCTCTCCCTCCCCCTCACTCTCCCTCACTCTCTTTCTCCCTCCCTGTCTTTCTCCTCTCTCTCTCTCTTCCTCCTTCTCTTTCTACCTCTCTCCCTCCGTCTCTCCTCTCTCTCTCTCTCTCTCTCTCTCTCTCTCTTCTCTCTCCCTCCTTCCCCTTTCTCTGCCCCTGTTGCTTGCGCTCTGTTTCACTCCTTTCTCTTTCTGCCTCTCCTTCTCTATTCTCTCTCTCTCTCTTTCTCTCTCCCTCTCTCTCTCTGGCTGTAGGATGTAATGGTGGTCGGGGAGCCATCTCTGATGGGGGGGGAGTTGGGGGACGTGGACGAGCGCTTGATCACGAGGCTGGAGAACGAACAATATGACCCCACCAATGGTCTCCATGACGACGGTCTCCATGACTACACCAACTCACAGGCGCTCAGCAACAGCAGCCCCTGGAACGGCCAGCCCCCTGGCAACCAGGACAGCAAGCCTGATGCCATGGCAACGCAGCAGTTGGAGTAACGTGAGCTGACAGCGGGTCGCCATGGAAACGGAGCCACCGAGGGATGGGAGTGCTCATCTGGGGATGGAGAGAGGGAATTTGTGTATGTGCGTGCGTGTGTTTGCATATGCGTGCGTGAGAGAAGACGTGTGACGTATGACGTCATCCCATACGTAAAACTATCACATTGGCTTTAATAGTATTTTTTTTCAATCTCCATCTCCAGAGACAGAGACCAATGAAGAAAAAAATAAAAATGAATCCAATCACAGCACACATTTCCATTGCTTGTATCAGTAAAAGTTCAAACATAGAAAGCTCTATAAATACGCTGCGCTGTCGACTAATTTCATACGGGACTTTTTAAGCTCTCTGGACAATTCCGCTTTAATTCTGTTCTATAATCTTTGTTTTCAGAAGTTGATGAAATTGTCTTCTTTGTGGATATCGTATTGTTTTTTTTATTGGCACAACTGCAGATAACTTTACCCTTTATTACCTAATTGTTTAATGTGTAATGTAATATACCTGCAGGTATGTGTATTTACCATTACGTGTGTATTTTCTGTATGCTTTTATGCTTTTCAATTATTCGCATCAATAAACTGTGTTCGGTTAAGACAACAGGCCAATGCCTTAGTTACTCGGTCAGTTATTTAATATTATTTGATTCAATGCTGAGTTAAATAAAACATTTTCAATGAAGTCAAAGCTGTCTGGAAATGTATTTATTTTCCACACTTTAACTGTATCATATTAATATGATTTTGGCTGAGAATCATCACTGAAATAAGCGAAGGCGAGCTTATAGTATAATTTAAAAAGTCTAGTTAAACTGATTAGATAAAGGACAAATAGATAAAGGATTTAAACTAATAAACCAGGAGTACTTGTTATATGTTATATGAAATTAATTACTTTTGACAAAGACGAGTTACACTCAGTGCAGACACAAATGCAACGGGTGTTCCGAGTTTTTTTTAATATTTATGATATATTATATATATACTATATGTGTAAATTTTGTATATATATATATATATATATACATATATATACAAAAAATAGAAAAATGAAACATACTCGTGGGGCCCCCTGGTGGTTCGGGGCCCCGACTGCCTATACAGCTTATAAGTAGAAATAGCCCTCCTCTCTCTCTCTCTCTCTCTCTCTCTCTCTCCCCCTCTATCCAACTATAAAAATAGGTTTTACTCAAAAGTTTTCCAAACACTTTTGACACTTTTAGCTTCTTTTCGTCAAACACGTGCCTCTACAGACAGATTTCCTCCCAAACCATTATTAAGAACATCAGTGCTCTTAGAGGCTGTGCTATAACACTAACAGAGCGACAGTGTTCCGATGTTATAAAGAACAGAACGCATGACGTCTTTAACGCTCCCACACTATTTTACTGCTGCGCGCGCTTTTAAACGCTGTTGGTAGTGATGCGTGTCTGTGAAACGTCATCGTTTGTCATTTCTCTCTTCTCCTGTGTAGGGTCACAGAAACACACCAAAACTTTTAAATAAATAAATTAACTAAAGTTTTCTGAGGATTCCTCCATTAATGTATAAAATATGAAGGAATAAGGGGGGAATCGATGTCATTTTAATTAAGCTCTGGTCAGCATTCGAAGACATGATTTTGCAATGCGGATCTCTGAGATATTAAAAAAGGGAAAGGAGAAGGATTTTCGTATAAACGTGTTATAACCGCAGTGTGTCCTAGCTGTAGTTTTTTTTTTGTCAAGGAAGACATTTATCAGGACTGGGAAACAACTGAGGAAAAAATAATGAATAATAATAAAAGCTGACCGGTCAAATATCTTTAGCTCTGAAACAGAAAAGTATAACTACTTTTTTTAAAAAAACATTTTTAATTCATTATGTGCAGCCATGAAACAGTTCTTTATTAGATGTATAGGCCGCTAGAGAAAGAGATATTAGACACATGTCAGTTTTCAGTGTATTTACTTCTGGAGTGATGACGTAAGAGTGTTGTGTCTGCTCTCGCGCGGCGAATGAGTGAAGATGGCGGACTCGGTAGCGGCGGGGCTGGGAGATGAAAAAGAGGCCGAAAATGAAGAAAAGGAGAAGGAGAAACGAGCTTTTCGTGCCTCTGGCAAAGCGGAGACGGGCAGCGAAACGTCGGAGTTGACCGAGACTCTTGGCTTTTACGAGAGAAAGGCGAAAAGGCAGGACAGCAGGCGCAGTCTGTCGGGTAAGAGCGGCGCCTCGACCACCTCCACATCCACTGCACTGTCAGCTAATGGGGCTGATTTAATGTAGTGCCCTGTAATGCACTGTAATATAATGTACTGCAATGTAATGTAATTAAGGTAGCAGGCTGTCATGTAACGTAATGTACGGTAATGTAACGTAACGTAATGTAGTGGAAGCTGGTTGGCTATTAGGGCTATTAGGGTTGACAGCTTACCACACCGACCTACACGACCGCTATGTATCGAACCCATGCAGTAAACATCTACTCCTCACGCTCTAATATGATATCTGATGTCAACCATTTATTAGCAATTGCTGGCCATACATGACCTATTGCCCCCTGGAAGCTTGCTAGCGCTAACATCTCATTTCGCTTAGTGTAGTTAGTGTGTTTGTATCTGCTCTGCTAGCTACTAATGTACAGTGCGAAAATCAGCTACCAGCTAGCTAGCGTTAATGTCTGCAAGGTACTGTGAAGACAAATGTGACATGCAAAGCTTTGTCAAACGCTTAACTTTATGTCTAAGTTAGAGCTCTATTGACTGTTTAATAGCTAATTTAGTAATAACTCTGGCTTTACTTTCAAACAGCGCTGCTAACTTCGGCTAGCTCATATTAGGTTAGCTAACTTAGAGTCAAACACTGCCCTTATTTATAAATCTGACCAGAATGAGTTAAAGTTTAAAGATTAGACAGACTAACGCTTACTCTTCAGTGATATTTGAAGCAGATGTTCTGTGAGCTCCCTTGAGCTTTCTGGTTAGTTAGTATAACTACATTTACCACAATGCATTGCGTTTAGATCTAGTTCACTTGCATTCACCTTAAGCTGCTGTTGTAGGCTAGCTATGTGAACTGGGCTATTTTAATGACGTTTTTTGCTGGATACTAGATTAAAACAGTCTTTTTCTGTTATAAAATATCTCCTTATGGTGATGTGAAGTGTCTTGTCTGTCTCTATTGTTTACTAAAAAAAAGTGCTCTCTTAAATTGCACTCCAAGTAACTCACTGCGGTGTCATTCAGTGACACCTGCCGTGTAGAATTACCCTAATGTCAAGAAGCACCACTTCTTTTTTACATTTACTTTACGTGAAAGAATCTCTGTTGTAACAGACTCTTTACTAGTCTGTCAGTCCACACAGGTTGATGAGTCATGCATGTTCAGGTTACTGAGTTTGTTCTGTTTTTTTTTTAAATGAAATGTTGCCATTATCAGTACAGTACTTCAGTGGTAGATGGCAAATACAGAATAGCCAGAGAATGCAAATATTTGTTCACTTTAGTCATTCTGGCCTCGCTTACATCCACGCTATGTGAAAGTACCATATTCTCTGAACTGTTAACCATGTTTGTGGTTTTCTGTCCAAGTCTTATGGGTTTCATCGCACAGGTTTTTTTGTGTTTTCCCTGCTATAACAGAACAGATTCTCATTTGTTAATTGACTGTCTGCAAAATTCAGACAAGTTTCTCCTCTGTTAGTTGCTGTAGCTAAAATCCATCATGCTTTCTGTTCAGCCTGCCTGATAACTTAATAGACTAAACAGCTCAGTAGCATAAAGAAACACTCTGAGGCCCTCAGAGTATCTCTGAAAACATTGTATAATGTCAAAATAAACTGACTTTATAGGGTAACTTACAATTTGAATGTAGGTGAATTTAAATTAAAAATATATTCTTGAAATCGTGTGTACAGTAATTTAGCCAAGGGTGGCAAGGGTTAAAGTGGCAGGTGTTTTTGTGTAATAAGGAGAAGGTTAGAGCTAAGAAATCTGCTAGCACAAAGCTAACAAAACTAACACTGAAACTAGTCAGAATCAACGTTAAATGCTGAGGAGGACGTTATCGTTTGAACAAACTTTAATGAGAAAAATAGAAGTATGAATGTATTAATATTTAGCTTTACATTAAATTAACAAATCAAGCTGTTAAGCTGTTAAGAAAACCATTAAGAAAAGCTAACTTGGTTAACTAATCTAAATATTAGTTCTGTAATGTTATATATCGGTAGACATCATAATAAAATAAAGTAATAACAATAAAATATAACTTAGCTTACTTTAGAGCCAGTGTAAATCTGCAATTTTGATAGTTTTGCTGCTAAATGCTGTGAATTTGGTCTTCTGCATAGTTTAATCCAAATAGTTTTCAGTTTCAGGAATGATATAAACACATCATCGTCCTCCAGATGATCAGCATGGCGTGTGTCCACTACAAGCCCATTATGACTTGAAGTGGGAGTGCTGAAACCAGGCAAAACACTAAACTGTGCAGGGCAGGAGGCACTACAGGACCAATGTGAACCTGTGTATAGTATAAAGTATCACTGTGTGGCTATGGTAGGCCACAAATCATTCAAGCTATGAGAGCATTTGTTAGACTAGCCAAAACTATGCAGAAAGAGTGTGGGGCAGGGCTGTAGTACTGAAATATCTGCCCTAATTCTGATCCAACTAAGGAGACACTAAAGTGTTTGAATCAGAATGACTTTTGGCATTTTTGTTTATTTGACAGTCAATAGTGCATTCATGTGGCTAAAGATTGACAAAATAAGTTGAGAGCTTGAACTTGAATAAATCACATTTACACCTTTTTTTTCTTACACATTTCTACGCAAATGTAGTCAATCAGCATGTTCAAGACAATCAAGACATGTTTCTGCACTGGTGCTATGGGGCTAAAGTAGCTAACAAGTAGTAAAAGCTTATACCTCACAAATTAGCATTTTACAAACTTCATGTCTAAGGCTGTAGCTTGGACGCTGCTAAATTTAGTGTTTTCTCCACTTCAGAGTTTTGCATTTGAAATGTATTTGCCCTGGAAAATTGCATCACAAAATAATTGCACTGAAACACACTTTTGCTTGTGAAATTTTGCTGAGAAAAGCTAGTGTGATGGGGTCTTAAATCATCACACTCTTTCCAAAAACAGCGCCAAGTAGCCTCAACATACTGTTATCTGTAAAAATGAACAAAAAACAGAAAACGTAATGCTCCAAGTTTGCTGCCTCTGCTGATTTTAGCTGCTTGTCTGTTTTGATAGATAGCAGTATGTCATATAGCTGTGGTCACCAGCCCAGGTCCTGAAGATCTGCCTTCTTGTGGAGTCTAGTTCCAACCACGATCTGCCACATCTACTCCAGTTAATAAACTTCTTCAGAATGTCTTGACTGACTGAATAAGATACACTAGTGTTAGGTAAAGGAGGCAGCATGTTGGATACAGGCTGGAACAAAAGTCTCTAGAAAAGTAGATGTCCAGGAGCGAGTTGGTGACCACTGAAACCTAGAAAGTTGGTTTGAGATTACTTAACAACTAAATTGTGTTTAATGCAAGTGTACAATGATTTAGACCTGCAGTTTGCTTATTTTGTTCTTTCTTTTGTGTGTGAAAACAGTAAATGTGATTTGTTTTTTCTCTCTCTCTTTGCCAAACCATTCCTTTAACTGCAGTTTACCTTCTGTTATTGTGTACCATTCACCTCAGCACAACCTCTCGCCCTCACCGTGAGTGGAACACACTGAACCAGAGAGAACAAGCACATTCGCTCTTGGCCTCATGTCAAACTAAATAAACACTTGAGAAGGAATAAGAGTGACTGGGCAAAACAGATACACTTTTTCTCCTTCGTTTTTCTTCTCCAAGGCAAACAGACAACAGTAAACAAATCCTTTACAGTACAATCAATAGCAGCACATGTTCATCATAGGAGTGGGCAAAAAATATAGCACCACTATACTTCAAGATGTTTTCTCGATACATAATATACATTGCAGTATTTCGTTTTTCTGAGGGTTTGTATGTTAAATACAATGCTACATTAAATCCAATTAAACAGGACTAATTGTGCTTTCTTTGTAATGAAACATGCAGGTGGTCAGGGTTCTTTAAATAGTGATGATGTACACAATATGCTCAGAAACTGACCTAAATTAATACCATGGCAATAAATACTGTTTAGTTTGTCAGCAGATATGTCATTATTTGTTTAAGTAAAAATTAAGACTGCTTGAAATTCTTATAGTTTTATGCTTGCTTACGTTGGGCGGTATGATTATATAATTTTTCCCCCAGTAAAGTGTTTAACTACAGTTCCAACAATCCATTAAAACACGTGCTGTAGCCTTCCACTGAACGTCTTCCCACACAAAACATAAATGGGGATTTAAAGGATTTTAAGGTACAGCAAAATTGGAAAATACAGAACAGACAATTTGATATAGACCATCCTAATAGCACAATAACAATGGTAGGCTGCAGTAACCGTAGACTGTAGGCTAACTCAAAAACTACCAAACTGTTCTAAAAACAGCGTTGATAACATCAACGAATGACAGCAGCCCTGTAATAAAGACAGATTTGTAACATTTATACAGAGCATGTAGACAACTAGTGTGGCAGTGCTAGGCAATTTAGTGTCTATAACACGGGTAGTCAAAAGTTAAAACTTGCGAAGGTCAACTTCCATCAAAGTTCTGGCTTACAAAGGTCAAAGGTGAACAAGCTACCTTAAGTGGTGACGGTGATTACCTTTAAATGCTTAACCATTAATAATTAGGCCAGGTAATTAATAAGGTAATGCAAGACATATCAAATATATTTTGTAACTGTTTGTAACTGTTTTGCTTGTTTTGCTGCTTTTAAAAAATGTTTTTCCGCAAAAGAAAAACAAATCCTGTACTTCCATAAGGTAAAATAAATTCAAAAGAAAACTGAAAATAAGAAATAGTAAAGTACTTTTAATGAGCCTATAAGCCACACTGGTTCATGTATGTACATTTTTATTTATTTTTTTTCATGTGAATTGGGTTTGCTACAAATTTTATTTGGTCCGCTAAAATACTTTGCTGAATCCCTAAGTTGACAACCTGTGGTCAATAACATTATACTGGTATTGGAGTCATACAACAGCATTGATTTTGAGCTTCATCAGTATTGATAGACAAAATGTCATTGTTTTCAGATGGTTTTAAAAGAGCAGTTGAACTTGAATAAAAGCAAAATAAATAGGAAGTTTCCTTTCTGACAAGCTGCTTTCTGTCTGGGTAACATTTACAGTACTGTGTCAGGTTTGTAAGACATACATACAGTACTCGGAAAGCCTGGGTTAATTAACTCACTGTGAAATGTATTTGGAACATGCTGTGTTAGTTAATTTTATCAGTGCTGCCCGGCACTAATGTATACTAATTTCTAGGGTGGCTAATACGATGTTATTGTTGTTGTGCATAATTAGTCCTGTTTAATTAGATTTAGAGTGGTGTAATATGTACAAAGTAATTTTAAATCTACTTTGACCTATATTCAAGCAAAAACACTACAAGATATGAAAGACAAGATATGTAATATACATTGTGGAGCTGATGCCTGCAACATGTTCCAGAAAAGTTGGGACAGGTGCAATTTAAGCCTAGGAACATTGTGAAAGGTTCAAAAAACATCTTAAACAGGTGATTCCATTATGCTTGGATATAAAAAAAACAATTCAAGAAAAGCCTAGTCCTTTATGAGCAGATATGGGTCAGGGATCCCCTGTTAATGTGGAGGCATCAAATTTGGAATGAGTATATAGTGAGTTTGTGAAATGTTAAATAACACTCATTGTATGCACAACTTTTGATATTTTTTAATGTGACAGTGATTTTTATTTGTCTGTTCTGTGAAAATGTGTAGAATGATTACTTAGTAATTTATTTTCACCTTGTTCCTGTTTTACTGTTGCAAACCCTTTTTAATAAATGCAATGTAACATATAGTATAATAGAAAATGGATGCCATAGAGGACAAATGTATATGTGTTTGTTCCCTTTGTTCTCTTTTTTTTTCTTCACTTCTTCAGTCATGTACACCTTCTGCTTTTAGACTTTTTATTCTCTGCACAAAGCTTACTGAATAGATGTATAGTGGGCTGCTAATAATAGTCCTGAATAATGAGCAGAAAGGCTTTATTGTGCTGGCTGCTGAATTGTATTCATGTGTGTGTGTGTGTGTGTGTGTGTGTGTGTGTGTGTGTGTGTGTGCTTGCGCAGATCTCTCTCTGGTGCGGTTCGTCAGTGCTGAGTTGACCAGAGGATATTTTCTGGAACATAACGAGGCCAAATACACAGAAAGGAGAGAGAGGGTCTACACCTGCTTGCGCATTCCCAAAGAACTGGAGAAGGTACTGCAGCTCAATACACAATACAACACAAAAGCACACAGCACCACATAATGCAATCATTGCTTCACATCATTTCTGTAGCGTAACAAAAGCCCACAACAATATGCTACCAGGCAAAAGACTGAGTACACACAGTAGAAATAACTGTATAAATTACTCAAAATAGCTTGGTATTTTGGCCAGAAAGCAAATATATACAGTTTTCCTCTTACCTCTAGTAAGTAATAAATAAATTAAATATAAAATAAATAAATGTGGGCGGCACGGTGGCGCAGTGGGTAGCGCTGTCGCCTCACAGCAAGAATGGCCTGGGTTTGATTCCCGGCCGGGCGACCAGGGTCGTTTCTGTGTGCAGTTTGCATGCTCTCCCCGTGTCTGCGTGGGTTTCCTCCGGGTACTCCGGTTTCCTCCCACAGTCCAAAAACATGCAGTCAGGCTGATTGGACACGCTAAATTGCCCCTAGGTGTGAATGTGTGTGTGACTGTGTATGTCTGTCTGTTTGCCCTGCGATGGACTGGCGACCTGTCCAGGGTGTATCCTGCCTTCCGCCCAATGACAGCTGGGATAGGCTCCAGCACCCCGCCGTGACCCAGAAGGATAAGCGGTTTAGATGATGTATGTATGTATGTATAAAATAAATATTCAGTAAATATTAAATCATTTACTCTAACAGCAGCAGTGGTTGAGCCACAGATTTCTTGGCTTTGTTGAAGCAAAAGTCCGTGAGGCTACGCCGCTGTGTGGTGCAGCTCACCGACAGAGGCCCACGGTGGGCTGTGCTAGTGGACACACAGGCCTTGCTAGCGGGCTGCTGTGCTAAAGGCTGTCATTATCACAAGACACTGCCGGTTCTCTTTATAGATCTCTTTAATGTTTGCTCCCTCATTACAAACCTGGACTAACATTAGCTAAGATTGTAACTGACTACACAGTTGGAGATGAAGGATTTCTGAAAGACACCTGACTCGGCTGTTAAGGGGCTCTCGTTAGCGTCTGTAATGCTCTTTCTATGTTGCATTGCCTGGTGTATTTGTGACATATTGGTGAAACCATTAGCTTAGGAAGAATTCAAAATAGTATATCACCCTTTACTATTGCCTTTCCAGAAAATACTGGTGTTACAATTTCTACCATGAGCATTTCTATTGCTGCTTACACTCTGCCGACATGCTAAGTTCCATCTACTGGCGCACACATATGCCATAGCGCTCATGCACACCAGAAATTGCTTGGTATTGGTCATAGGTATCAGTATCCCCATCACTGATACCGATACTACGTTCAAGTGCCTGTATTCATGCAACCCTAGTAGCAGCAGCCCTCTTAAAGCCTGCAATGTTTGTATTTTATATTTTTTTATAGATGACCGTCTGTCATACAGTGATTGAAACCACATAAGCAAAGCTGTTTCAGATTACTAGACATTTCAGTGTGGTTTGAGACAAGTGTGCAGTGCCCAAGCACATGGACATCTGCCCAAGTAGATTTCGATTTCAAGCTTGTAACAATAAAAGAACCTTTTTTAGTGCTATATAGAACCTTTTTTTAAAAAGGTTCTGTGTAGAACCATATACAACACATTCTCAGTCAGTCTGAAGAACCATTTCACCGCGCAAAGAACCCTTTAATCTTGCAAAGAGTTCTTTGTGTTCATGGTTGTAAATATGGTCCTATTACAATATTTAGCATATCACAAATCTTTAACTCATGTTTGAATTGTATTGCTCAAGTTTTGTGAATTCACCCCTACTCCCTCCACTGTGTTGGCATGCAGTTTACATGATGCCAGCTGGTGGATATAAGCTGCCATTACTTGTTAGCTACATTAGCCTAAATCAATACTAAAAATGTTCTCTCTCTCTTACTCTCTCACACTGTGTAGCTGATGATCTTTGGGTTCTTCCTGTGTCTGGATGCGTTTCTCTACGTGTTCACTCTGTTGCCGCTCAGAGTGCTGCTGGCGCTGATCAGGCTGCTCACACTGCCCTGCTGTGGACTCAGGTAACACAAACACACTCACTCAAGATGGTGAGCCATTCCCTGAGAATTGAATTCAAATATTTATTACATAAAATCTTACTATTAGAATGCGATAGCACAATTTCAAAGATTTACCCTCTATCCCGTTAAATAAAGTATAGTGTAAATAAAGAAAATGGTCTTAAAGCCATAGTTTGGCCAGTTTCCTTAATTGTCTCCTTAATCTGAATGAAGCCAATCGGCCAAGACATGTTTAAAATCTGACGTTTGCTTCTTTAGTTTTACACTGGAGATACAAAACTAATGTACTGTGCAGGAATTGGAGTTTCCTTAAGCTGTATCATGATGGTGATGTTGGACCTACATTATTCATGATAGGGGTCAACATACCAAAATTAAGCATGCCGCTGTCCTCACACATTCGAATGACCTTTTCCATTCGAATGAAATAAATTTTTTTGAGTTCTTTTCAAATGTTGACATTTGATTCTAGTAACTGGGATTGGGCGATATGTCAATAGTTTTGACCAACGTTCTGTGTAACTTTTTAACAGTGCGAGAGAAGCCATCCACAAGTCCGACTCGGATGCAACCAATCACAGCACATTGTTAGTTAACATGAACTAAATACATGACAGTTTGAGATGGAAGCAAAATACAAATGTAATTGTACGATTCCCTGCAGAGGACAGAGGTTTTTGGAGTTTCTTTCAAACATGTAGATGGGTGATGAAGGAAAAAATAACATAGAGTAGGGTGTTGGACCACCGCAAACCTCCAGGACAGAGTACTACAGGGAAGAAACACCATTCCTCTCAAAGATATTCCCTCAGTTGATGTTTTGATGCTGGCAGTCTAACACGTTGGTCCAAAATCTCCAATAGGCGTTCCAACTGGGTTGAGATCTAGTGACTGTGAAGGTCATAGTATATGATTTACATAATTTTCATTATCAACAAACTATTTCGTGATCCCTTGTTCCCTATAGATGGGGACATTGTCATCCTAGAAGAGACCACTCCCTTCAGGATAAGTGCTTCATTATCAATTGCACAGCTTAACAGAGCCACTGGACCCCCTCACTGTGGGGGTCCAGTGGCTCTGTCTTAATCCAAAATCAAGGTCACTTGGACCTGCTTAGCATTTTTATACATGCCACAGAGCGTGGTAGGATGTTAATTGCTTAATTGTATCATACATGAGCAGTACGTCTGTCTGAAAGCATCTGCACTCATTGTGTTTCTCCACATAGTTTATTTATAATTTATTTGGGTTTTTCTACATATCACCTGTCTGTGTTTAACTTGTTTGAATCTTAGCACTGTAGGAATCTATTCACTGCCACCATGTGGCCAAATTATAAAATGCAGTTTCAAAAAGAGCCCGATTATGCCTATAAACTGATTTTTTAATGATTGTCTATTTAGAAAAAAATTAATATCGCCCATCCCTTCATGCTGTATTCCTGCTATGGCTTTTGTCTTTATGAGCCCCCTCAGCAATGCACATTTACAACACACCATGCACGTATTCTTTGTATAACCACTCCAAAGCATTCTTCTGGGCTTTGTTGTAATAGATAGAATAGACAATGGTTTTGTTTTATGTTTTGTTCTGTATTGATTATTTATTGGTTTGTAGTGCTTTGGGTTTGAGAAAAGGCGTTATAAATGGAATTTATCAGTATTTATTTATTTATTTTCATTAATTCCAAAAGTGGCCCAGATAGCTCTCCACACATAGACATAATGTAAACTGTTAGGATTGGAGGAGCTGCTCACCATTTATCTTTCTGCCTGCAGGGCTAATATATGCCCCTACTGCAAAAAGAGAAGGTATGCAGAAATGCACACTAGTGCTGATATGACTGCAACAGCTTTACACACATGCACACTCGCTCACAAGCGCACGCATGCAGTCAGACAGACTGCAGCTGTTTTATCTATCTAACCACATTTTTGTTTTTGCTTTCACTCAGAGCTGCACATTCAAATAAACCACAGAATCTGCCAGCAAGTGAAATGGTTACATGTAAATGTCCAGGTTCAGCCTGTAGGTGGCTGCATTGTGCTATGTTTGTAGCTCCAGAGTTATAGAAGGAGTTTGTTTTTATGCAAGGTGCCTTCTGTGAGCTTATATGGCATTGATTTGGAATTATTTAGGTAATAATGCTTTGAATAATCTTAGAATTATCTGTGAAAAAGCCTATAGGCATTTTATTGGTTATAGTTAGTACTTGGCAAGTGTCTGCAATACTCAATACTTAAAAATCCTTGAATAATTAATAAAGTGTGCTGCATGATGCATGTTTTGTGGCTTTATAATAACTACCCTACATAACTAACAAGTCATGTGCATGTGTAGAGTAAGGACTAGGCCTGTTCCTGGTGTTGGTTAACTAAGTTACCGTGGTAACAGGCCCCAGTGATCGTGAAAAACTCATTGACTGCCAGTTTAAAACCTGTTGTTCACTTCTTTCATTAATATCATGCAAACCGTATGCTGGGTGAATTGATATCCTACATTTTATTATTACCTAACATAAGATGGTTTAAGAAACAAACCTGTTGAGCTGCGCTGGTTGAACGTGCTCGGTACAGCAGTCAGATATCATGCCTATACATAAAGCCTATACCTTTTAGGACATCATCAGACCACAGCATCAGGTTTCAGACATCAGACAAAACAGCTTCCGTTCTCGGGGGGTGGCAATAAACACATGAAGTCAGGTCTCAGCTCTTGTAGACCTCAGGTGAAACAGGCTGTTTAAACGGCCTCAGGCAAAATGGCTTCAGAGAATTACTAAATTAATACCAAGTTTGTGGCCAAATTAAATATAACAGTCTCCAACAACCACAACTTTTTTTAAGGTGCCCTTTAACTATGTTCTTTTCTTTTACACAGTTTAAGCTTTAACTCGCATCACTTTCACTTTTTTTTCCCACGTGTACTTGAGTGCCAGGGACCATCTCAAAATTACTGTCTGAAAAAGTGTTGCTATTATTATGTATTCTATATATGACTTAGGTATATTATTGTTTTATGTGTATTATTAAGTTGTCTTGACAAAGCTGTTCTTCATTATCTTCTTATTATTCTTATTCTTATTATAGTCCCATATACAGTTTTCATACAGTGTTCGTTCAAACAAGCTTTTTTTCCCTCCACAGTAAAGGAAGGAATGGCGGAATACCGAAAAATCAAAACTAACTGCCACAAATTGTGTCGTATAGTACATCTCTCATGCTGACATACATACTAATGTGTACACAAACACACACATACACTCACACACATGCTCACACATACATACACATATATACATAAATAGCAAGCACCTGGGATAACATAGCAATGGCCCAGCAACACCTCAGCAACCACCTGGATTTTATGACAACAGCTTTGTCAAGCCAACTTAAAGTTCAGGCAAGGACTTCCTCTCTAGTTCTTATTGATATGTGGGTAAAATAACCATGGAGGAAATAAAAAATAAAAAGTAAATCAAAGAGAGAAAATAACCCCAAGGTCTATGTCAAACCACCCACCCCACCCCTACCTGGTTTAACCGGTTACTGTGGTTATTTTGTACATGGTTACCCAACTAAGACTCTGTTACCGACACAGGCCTAGATAGAACACTACTTTGAAGCCGTTTTGTTGCCTGTTACATAGATGTACAGATTAGTACAAAAAATTGTAAATACCATCTGAAGTATAATGTTATCATGTAATAACAGTGTGTGTGTGTGTGTGTGTGTGTGTGTGTGTGTGTGTGTGTGTGTGTGTAGTGGCTCTCGTCTCTTGCAGCCTGCTCAGGTGTGTGACGTGCTGAAGGGGTTTATCATGGTGCTGTGTTACTCCATGATGCACTACGTGGACTACTCCATGATGTACCACCTGATTAGGGGCCAGTCTGTCATCAAGCTCTACATCATCTACAACATGCTGGAGGTGCTGCTCTCAGATCAGCCTATGCTATTTAAATACACATCTCTCTGCATGTCATTAAAGATCTACATCAGTTTAGTGCCCTAATCTACCCTGATCCCCTAATCTAACCCTAATCTAACACACCTGGTCTAACTATTCAAGGCCTTCAGAAGCATCTGTATATTAGAGTCAGCTGAGCTAGATTAGGCTTGCAGGTCAGAGGTCGCTAGATCACCAGGGATTTGATACTTCTGACGGATGGAAGCGCTGACCACAGATCAGTTCATACATTGAGTTAGCATTTTATTAGGTACAAATTAGGTCCACTGGCCATTTTATCAGGTTTATCAGGACAGTAGTGTGCAAAAGTCAGAGACCAGCCCTCATTTATCTTATTTCCAAACAAAACAGCCATTAATTAAAAGTTATTTAGATGTATTATAATGTACTTGCATAGGAAGGGGAAATCAAAGAAAAATAAGTCTGTTGGGGGTCAGGAGATTCCAAAAGAAATTATTTTAAAAAAATAGAGACAAAATGGGATTATTAATAACTGTACAAGACCTAGTAGACCACCAAAACTCTAATCAACCACTCTTGCTTCTGATCTGATCTTCCTGCTCGAAGTTTTTTTTAAAGAAATCTCCAGAGATATTTTTCTACATGTCTAAAGTGGACACCCTAAATACTGTTTATAAAAAAATCTGTATTTAATTTTGTGTAATTTTGTGTTAACTACATGTTTTCTGTATTTTTCCCTGTCACTGAAAACTGAACTTATGCTTAATGGCTGTTTGGACTGCAAATTAAATAAATTAAAGGCTGGCACAATATTGTAGGTACACTTTGAGGGTTTATGGTTACTGACTGTAGCCCACCTGTTATTGAGAACGTCTCACCACCCAGGTAATATCTGGTCAGCGGTGGTCCTGTTGATCTCTTTTCAATGATGGACAACGTTGAGGACGGCTGATATTGCAGAAGGGCTACAGTCAATTATAAACCTTCAAAGCGCACGTATAAAGTAGGTGTACTTGATAAAATGGTAACTCTATACATTGAAGCATACACCGGTCAACATATCATTCTACAGTCTATGATTTATACAGCCTATCGTAGAGAATACATTATGCCACCACTATTTTCTTGCAAAACTGATTAATGACCTGTCCTTTCTCTCTCTGTCTTCCTCTCGTTTAGGTGGCGGATCGATTGTTTTCGTCCTTTGGACAGGACATTCTGGACGCTCTGTATTGGACAGCCACAGAGCCCAAAGAAAGAAAGAGAGCACACATTGGTGTAATACCTCACTTCTTCATGGCTGTCCTCTATGTCTGTATCCTTTACAGAAATTACACCCACAGTTTTTTAGATTGCCAGAAAGTCTAAAGTTTTTAGAAACTCATTGGGGGGCCTCCTGGTGCCTAGGAGGCCATAAGTAGCTGGCTTATATTGCTTAGAGCAAGAGACAGCTCTGACCAGTTATCTAATTGCATGAGACTAATTGGAGCCTTATGGTAAAAATGCTTGCTAACAGTCCAGTGAGCGTGTGACACTTGTGGGATTCTGCAGTGTTTAAGGGGGCCATGTCATAGAAAACCAAGTTCTTCTACACTGTTTATAAAAATACCAGTCATTCTCCAGTCTGAACAGTGTATATGGAAACTAAGCTGCAAAAAACATCTGGTTTGAGTTTCTGACATCACAACCATGAACACATATATTACGTGTGAGCGCCCAGTCAGCCTACAGCAATTTAGCCTCCAAGTTACATTGAGATGATAAGGAGTGTTGTTACTGCAGACAGTCTGTAACAGAATTTAAATGAATGTTAGGCTGGAGTGCCTGTGCTTTCCTGAACTTTTCCTACAGTTCTTCATGCCATTCTAATCATGGTTCAGGCCACCACCCTGAATGTGGCGTTTAACTCCCACAACAAATCCCTGCTCACCATCATGATGTCCAACAATGTAGGTGTCTACACACACACACACACACACACACACACACACACACACACACACACACAGTGGTGGGCAGAATGCTTTGAAAAAGTAGCAAAGGCTGAATACTGAATATAGTCTCCATCTTGTGCACTAAGCCAACAATTCACCATATCCCAATAACAAAGTCTTTGACATGTAATGAGTCCAGTACAACGCTGATGCTAAGCTTATCACTCATGAACATGTACACTACTATTCAGTTCAAGCATTCCTCAAAGGAGGTCAGTAACACTGACATTAATAAATGGCTCATCACATTGATTTATCAGTCTACTCAGGCTTTAGCAGAGCTCAGTATCACCTGAGATTAATAACTGATCATCACAATGATTTATCAGTCTACTCAGGCATTCGGGAGCTTTTAGTGTTTGTAAAGAAGTTGTTTTTTTGAGTTCTTCTTTAGAGTTTGTCTTTATAGAAATATATTTATTTGACTGAATACAGATACCTCGTTACTGTATTCTGTGTATGTATTCCAGATACTGGTATTCTGTTACATCCCTTTCCTGCACATACCAACAATCAGAGAAAAAATCATGTCATATTTAATTTTTTTTTTTAAATACTCTGCCCATTTTATAGGATTTTTTTGTGTGTTCTTCGGAAAATAGCATGACGAAATATGATATAGATGTGCTTCTATAATCTGTTGTCTGGCTGTAACACGTTTTTTTCGTGAAATGTCTCTCGTCTTTCTCATTTTCAATACAGTTTGTTGAGATCAAGGGGAGCGTGTTCAAGAAGTTTGAAAAGAATAACCTCTTTCAGATGTCCAACAGTGGTAAGTCACAACAAACTGAAAATCCATCCAGTCAGAACAGACTTATCTCAACCACAGAACACACTAAACTTGCCTTTCTTTGTGCTTATTATTTCAGATATCAAAGAAAGATTCACAAACTATGTGCTCTTATTAATTGTCTGCCTCAGAAACATGGAACAGTTCTCTTGGAACCCAGGTAATCACTTTATAACTAAACAACCACAAGCTCCTATAAAATGATTTGATTTCTTCAATAAACTAACTGTGGCGGAATCTACCTTATCTGTGCACCGATTTCAATTATAATGGATAAACTCCTATTTTTTGGACATTTCTGATGTAGTCATTATATTTGATTGATTTTAGATCATCTGTGGGTGCTGTTTCCGGATGTATGTATGGTGATTGCTTCTGAGATCGCCGTGGATGTGGTAAAACATGCCTTCATCACCAAATTTAATGACATCCCAGCAGATGTAAGTACAACCTGTGTGGATATGAATATTTAGATAAGAAAATGAAGGTTAGAAATGACTCTAAACAGATCTGCCTTCAGTGTGACCCAGAAATGTGTTTGCAGATGCCCTTTTCATCAATTCATTAAGGGCTTAACTCTAAAAATGCCTTGAAGAAGGCTATAAACTACACATAACTAGTTTGCAAACCAGCTACTATAGTTTATTGTATGTTTCATCTCATATAGTGTACAGAGAGCTGTTTTTCATCTTTTTGCAATACATTGCTGATTGCCAACGTTAATGTAAAAATATATCATGCAGTACCTACCTGATTGTGAAGATTTGAAACAAAATTATATCTTTTAAAACAACCTTAATATAGAGTAGATTTTGTTCATGGACAACCTGTGAATCCTATTAGGACATTTCTACTAGTATATAGAGTTCCGTGTCAGACTGTTTCCAAAATATTACTTTTTGCAGTTCTGTCTTTGCTTGATATTAACTGGCATCTTTATTACTCAGCTGAGGTAGTACCAAAAAACCCCCAAATTTTATGTTAGAACAGATTTTTTGATACTACACAAAACATTGCTCCTGCTTCTCATAGTCTGATCCATGTCAACCTGATATGTGGACAAGCATATGTGATGACACCTGTATTTGTTGAAATACGATATAGGTGCACTTTGTAGGTCTACAGTTACTGACTGTAGCTCACCTGTTGCTGCACAATATATCACCCCTTCTACCCAGTCTGTCAGTGGACGACCAGCAAGGAACGACCACTGAGCAGATACTGTTTGAGTGGTGGACCATTCTCAGCACTGGTACAGCAGAGTTGCTGGGCTTTTTACATAAGTCATTGTCACTGCTGAACTGAGAACAGTCCACCAACTAAAATTATCCAGTGAACAGCATCCTGTGATCACTGATGAAAGACTAGATGATGACTAACACAAACTCTAAGAATTTACACCTACAAGATAGACCAACAAGCCAAGTGTGTCTAGTAAATGTACAGTGTTTTCAAATCCAGCAGTTCTGCTGTGCTGAAAATAATCCATATGGTTGTCTCTTTACATTGATCTATGGGATAGATGGTGACTTATGAATTGTACAGCAACAGATGGGCTACAGTCACTAATTGTGTCCCTACAACGTGCACATATATGGTAGATATTTCTGATAAATATGGCAAATGAATAGAGCATAAAATGGCAACTCGGTATATTGACATGGATAATAACAATATACAGGCTACGTACTAAAAGCACACACTGCATGGTCTTGTTAGAAATCTTATTCACTTTAGTCTAACTATCCAAGGAATTTGCTAAAAGTAAATTCACTACTATATCATACATCGATAATGCTTAATGCCTCTGCACACCAAGTTAACAGACACCAGGATGTGACCTAAAAAGTGAGGGAACGTGAGATATATCACTTGACCTATTTTAACTAGCTCAAGCCAACATAGACAAGACTCCTTTTTTCTTATGTGTGAAAAGAAAAGCATGTTGACACTGAAGACGAACGCTTACAAAGGCAGACAGGTTTCTCTGGGGACAGGTTTGGAAAGTGACCCAGCTCTCAGCCACCATGATGACCCGAATAGTTCCATTAACCCAAATCATCCTCGACAGCGGTTTAGAGTGAGAGGGACAGGCCAGTGTAAAGCTCCCTGCCTCTCCTTTTTACCTTCTTTCCTGGACTTCTATCTCAGGGTTTTCTTAGTAAATTGTGGTTGTTTGAATATGGTGGTAATAGAGCAATAACTGCATATAAAAAACTGTAAAATACACTCGTGTTCAATAACATATTAGTAATGATCACAATAAACAATGCTTCCTCCAAACAGCATAGTTTACCAGTAGGCTATGGTTGCCAAGATTATTCTGTGAACAGTGCAGTGGTTTTTGCATTAAAAAGAATTGAGCATTTGCAAAAATTTAGTGCTGGAGTAATATGCTTGTACCATACAGTGAACACTAGCTTTATTCCCTCATGTGTTTGTTTATCTGTGTACATTTATTTATTTATTTCCACTTCAGAAAGAGGGGGTGGAAGTGATGGGCGGGGAGAAGAGGAGGGAGAGTGAGCGAACAAGAAAGAAAGAAAGACACATGAAAGGAGAGAAAGAGTGGGATGAGCTTGCTGGCAGGGATTAGTGCCAGAGATCTGCTCTGTCTTACAGTGGCTTAGTTTAGTTTTGTCAGGGAGATTAGTGTCACAGCTCGCGCACACACGTACACACACTGCTGTTCCTCCTCTCCAGTCCATGTCAGTTTCTGATGTATTTACTTCATCCCTTCATCTTAGGTAACATGAAAGAGGATGTTAAATGGTGGGGGCGATCTGAAGGTAATGGGACAGAAAGAGAGAGAAAAACATGAAATGAGGAACATAAACTCTGTCACAGTGGACCTTTTTGTACAATATTTCCTAGGCAGTAAGAGTGTGCAATGCGTGTTATGATCTAAATAAAGGGTGGTTACGTAATGCACCTCAACACCCAGTGATTAACCCTTGCTATCGCGCTGTCAGCCTTGGTTCACCCGATTACTTGCTCGATTACACCAGCAATTCAGGTAAAGGGCAAAAAGGAGAGAAGATCCACAATCATATATATACATATTTAAAACATAATTAAATCAATACATTTTATTTATGTATTTAATTAAAATGTATTTATTTATATATTTTCTTTCTAGAATTTCCATCAGTATGCTAATAAGAAAGTCTAAACCTGCATGGTATTGGTTAATCAAAGAGAAAGCAGTGTGTTTGATTACTCTTGTCTTGTTTTTGAAATGCTGCTAAATACTTCAGTGATGTTGGAGGATCTGAGCTGAGTTTCTGTGCAGTTACACTTGATAGCGGACAAATTAAATACTGGACAGTTGGACAGTAACTATGTTCTGTTTAGAGCAGAGGTATTAATTGCAGACTTAAGAGAACTGAGCAGTGAAATAGTTGTAAATGTGTCAGTGTTGAATACACTTTACGATGTTGCCCCACAATGTCAACAAGCTGCTGTAGTATGGTTTCTCAGTGTGTTTGTTCAGTACTCGGGCACACAGTGTGTTTATGTTTAAATGAAACAGCTTTATTTGAAATTGTTTATGGACAGAGCTGTCTGTATTGGCTGCGCTTTATGTAGTATGGACTGTGCATTTTTGTACAGAGTGAGCATAAATTGTAGGCTTTGTCCGTGACTGTTCAGACAAACAGTGTGAGTCACCAAAGAACAAAGTATCTAAAATCACATAGTGTATACCTGGCTTTAGAGGACATTCATCTACAGCTCAACCAGCCAAACAAAAAACCTCAGAGCCTTAGCCTTGGATGTTATTCCTGCTGTCAGTATGCTACAGAGAATGTTGTTGAGACAGATGAGAATTAAAACTATGAAACTGCTAAGATACATTGCACTTTTTTACGTTATCTACTACTTAATTCGGTTACTCAATATGGTATCAGACTCTGTATCGGCAAGTATAAAAAAAATTATGTACTCATACTCGGTCTGAAAAAATTATATTGATGCATCCCTAGTAAAAATATAAGAAAATGTACAAATATTCGCCTTTCCCTTGGAAAAACGAAACGTTTGCCTTAAAAACTTATTTAAGACAAACATTAAGGGCCATATTGCACCTTTTTTGTACCTTGGGGGACAAAAAAAAAATCTACCTGGTACAATACCCTTTTTTTCTAACAGCGTACAGAACTCAACTTTTCCAGGTAACATAAAGGCTTCTGTTCACACACAATGCTAATTTCACAGGAATAGTATTTGGTCTCTTGCAGGTAAATTGTCATGTCCTCCTTTATAATTCATTTCCATGTGTGAAAGGAACTAGACTTTTAAAAAGTATCATATAACATTGTGTTTATTTACAAAAATACTTCAGAAATATAATTTTAAAAATATTAAAAATGTGTTTAAAAATATGCTTGCTCTTTCTTTTGGTGAGGGGGTAGTGCTAGGGTAACTTTTTCTTTAGTGGGCCAACTTTGCGCGGCCCTAGTCTACAGTTATATGTAGGTCAATGGCAAAGGTTTTGCAGTAGCAAGGTTTTGTGTCTTGGGTTAGAAGATGTTTGCGCATAATTTGAAAACTCCAGCTTTTCTTGCATTGTGTGAAAATGTCATGATGAGTGGAGCAGAAGAAATGGTCTACATTTACTTGGGGAAAAAAACATTTATTTTTATATTTACTTCCATTATAAGTTTTTCTCCTGTAAAGTTACCGTTTCAGAGATACTAGGTTTTATGGTGACAATATGTTTAAATATGTGTTCTCATATTAATACTTATTTCTGATAGTGCAGTGTACAAAAGTAAAAACGTACCCTGCACATTTATGATTCTGAACATGCTGACTAATGATGGTGGATGGGTGGGTGTGTTTGCAGGTGTACGGTGAATACAGAGCGAGTTTGGCGTTTGATCTGGTCAGCAGCAGACAGAAGAATGTAAGTCAGTAAATAGAAGTTCACCTTTCTTGACCAAGGAGGATGATTACAAGATTGGGCCCAGTGTCCCAAAAATTTTGCAGCATTTTCATTATAACTGGTAGAGAAGAGAGTCTTTTATATGATGCTCGTGCCACCATTTAACAATGCTTTTGGGAAATCCAGCTCTCTTTAGTCAGGCGCATAATCAGAACGAACTGTTGTGAAGTTAGTTACACCCCTGCTGTTACCTCCATTATCTACTATGCATAATTATAATGTATTTTGTATTGCTTTGTGTGTGTTACTCATATTTTGTGTGGACTTCGGGTGTTTTCTAGGCATATACTGACTACAGTGACAGCGTTTCAAGAAGAATGGGCTTCATCCCTCTTCCTCTTGCTCTACTGGTAACAGCCTTCTTGAATCACTTTCACCATTTTCTTTGTTAGTATTTACTATGCAGGTGAACAGGTTCCAGTAGCTTTTTTGGTTACCAGAGTTGACTATCTCTATTTTTTCATTAAATTCAAAAAGATGTGATGAGTACATCAATTTTAAATAAATAATATTTTTTGCCAGTGTTTACTATTCAGGTGGAAGTTTTATTCATTTATTTATGCATCTGTTTATATATATATTTTTTTTACCTATACAATGGAGTTTAAAAGTGCACAGTGAAGATCATCATCTTGATTTATAGCTGGGAATAAATGTTTTAGAATTCTTAAAAATTAAAACAAAAAAGTAAAATAAAAACAAAAAATCAAGATTCTGTACTATTTTCTAGCTCACTATTCCAGTTTAACCAAATTTGTGACGCTTACAGTGTTAAGGCTTTTGTACTAAAAGGTCAGAAATTTTGTCATTAAAGCAAAAAAGAGATTTACCAAATATAAAAATATTTCAAAGGTTTTACTTTTTCACAGTTGTGATGCTGATAATATACTTTATAATGACACATTTTGTATTAAATTAGAAAAGAATGTAAAAGAAAAGCTCAGACTTTGGGACATCTCTGTATGTAACTGTTTTCATTATATTCAACAAGATTAACATGCTTTATTTTAAACGTTACTTTGTCACATTCATTTTGTTTGCCAGAATTTATTAGTTAGGTTAGTAGCTATTAGTCATAGTTTTACCAACAGTGTGATAAAAATATGCAACATGTTACAGCATCCTTTTACGATATCATGTTTACGTTTGCATGGTATGCTGGTGTTAAAAACATGCCATTTTTGCTTGAAAGCTCATCCGGGTGGTGACCAGTTCAGTGAAGATCCAGGGTGCCCTTGCCGTTGTGTGTGTTGTGCTCTTTTATCTGGGGTAAGTTTCGGAACTGTGATTTTGTTTGTGCCTACGCTACACATGTTCAACAGAGCTCTCTAGATTGTGCCTATGTTGTACATGTATCTTGCTGATACTGTGTTCTGTGTGCTTGCAGTATGATCACACTGAAGGTGCTGAACAGCATCGTGTTGTTGGGAAAGTCATGTGTGTATGTGAAAGAAGCTAACATGGAGGAAAAGCTCTTCCAGTCTCCCCCCTCTGCTGCGCCAAGCAGAGTATCGAGTAGAGCTCACCGAACAAAACAAACACGTGAATCAGCAGGTACGGTTTACACACACGCATACACACACTGCTGTCCACAAATGTTAATTTCTGAATTCTGCAAAAGGTAATATGTATGTATTTTTTATACTGTTCTTGTAAATTAGCCACTGTAATTGGCCAGTATCAAAGTTTCAGACTAGCGCTTTCCCGTCATCTTGGGGTAATAAAAGGGACGATGTTTCACCCATTTTGGGACACTATGGGGCAATAAAGTAGTGGATAATGTCTGTAAAATATATAGTCACAAAATCATGAACTACAGGCGTTAGCATGCTAGCAAAGACTTTCCGCTTTTGTTGTTCTTCACATTGAACAGGTCTGAAGTGCTCTCGTACCTGTAGATCTTCTTAAGTGTTGTATCCCCTCTTGTTACTTGGCATAAACAGAGCTTATAAATCTCTTGTTGATTAATACCCCTCTTAAAAACGGTTTCAAACAGCCCATATTTTTACCCTGTTGTTGCTCAAATAGTTTAAACACAAGCGTCGGAGCTGATTAGCATGGGACAGTGAGGGGAACAAACAGTATTTTAAATCACAATTTCGCATACTATTACGTTTTCATTTCCATTATTTGTAAAGTCCTGAATTTTGACTTTTTTGGCAGTTTTTCTCTTTTGGCCGAGAACTGAAAGAGCTGTTTGACAATTTTCAGACTAAAATTTTGGGCAAAATTTTGAAACATCCTTAATGTTCTTTTTATATGCCAGTAAAGGGATTGATGCTGTTCAGTCCTCATACACCTTACATTAACTGTCAGCTGACATCTTCCTGTTCTTTCTTCTTTGCGTTGTTATCCCTCTGTTTCTGTCTAGGTCTCAAGGCTTGAGGTTCTTCCTCCTGTCTTACATCAAACCTATCTATGCTGCTGCCACTGCTTTTTCTTTCTCCATCTCTTGCTCTCCTCCTTCCTCCTACTTCACTCCCACTTTGTCCTGCCTTCCCTTATGCTACTTGCCTGTTTCTCCCTCTTGCTCAGCAGGTGTACCACCTCCTTGCCTTCTGCCTCGTTTTGCTATTATTACTTACAACTTCAGTTTACAAGAAGACCCTCATTAATTTGAATTTTATGTATTACATCAACCAGTAAATTATGAAGAATTAGACAAATCTAAATTTAAATGCACACAGTTTTTCCCTTATTCCAAATGTAGTGGATCGACCAAGAGAGTTTTATACTGGAGCTGTAAGAATAAAGTAGATTATAAATGTCTGTTACTCATCTTTTTCAGTGACTTCTCTTATATTAGCGTCATACCTCCAGCCTCATAGCTACATTATATGGCCAAAAGTATGTGGACACTTAGGCATCACATTTCTATGAGCTTGTTGGACATCCTATTTCAAACCCTTGGGCATTAATATGCATTAGGCCCTCCTTTTGTGGCTATCATAGCCACAAAACATAGCACTTCCGGCAAGACTTTTCACAAGATCTTGGAGTTTTTCTGGGGGAATCTGTCTCCAGTCAGTCAAAAGAGAATTTGTGAGGTCAGACACTGATATTGGACAGGAAGTTCTGGCTCTGTCTTTATGGAGCTTCCCTTGTGCTCAGTGGCACAGTTATGCTCGAACAGAAAAGGGCCTTTTCCAAACTGTTGCCACAAAGTTGGAAACAAAGTTGTCTAAAATATCTTTGTATTAACGTTACACTTCACTGGAATTAAGGAGCTGAGCCCTAACCCTGAAAAACAGCCCCAGACCATTATACCACCTCTCCCAAACTTTACTGTTGGCACTGTGCATCCTGGAAAGTAGTGTTCTGGCATTTGCCAGAGCCAGATTCACATCATCTACACAGAATGCACAACTTTGATGCACGATTACTGTTTATTTGCTAAATTTAACATACTAAAACATGAGATACGGCCTGTGCAAAAGTTATGGCACAATAATTTTAAGTTTGTCTCCTGTAGAGGATGTGAAGACAATGTGTTAATAAAAAAAGTTTTTTACTTAGAAAATCAACAACAAGTAAAATGACCAGCGCTGTACAAACATTTGCATATGACTGTATATTTAAAAATGTATTTTTCTTATTCTTACAGAATATTCAACATTATTACATTTTTTAATATAATATTTAAAAAAATGAAAATATTCAGAACTGTGATTTCCTGCCTCTTAGGTGAGCCTGTGGATGAAGACGTATCTGCGTCAATCATCACTCAACCCACCCACCAGCCTGAGCGTACTGCCTCTAGTCTCCCAACCAGCGAATCAGATCAGTTCCTTACGACACCTGATGAATCGGAAGAGAAGATCATTACACAGGATGGAACAGAACTCATACACAGAGCTCCTAAGAAAGACCTGCTGGAGATCGATCGTTTTACTATCTGTGGGAACCGAATTGATTGACACATATACCTATATATGAGTTCAGAAAGTGACGAAAGCTGGGAAGCTGGTTACGAACTGAAAGACCCTCCCTGTTTACCAGCTTGATTTCTTTATTGACTTTTGACCCTGGGGCTTGCAGGATCAGGGTAGCAAAAAACAGTGGGATATTTATTAAGAAGACCTAATTTATTGAAGTTTCATACTGAAACACACTCGCACACACATTACACAACCTTCCCTTCTATACTCCTCCACTTATGGATCCTCGTTTGCTTGGACAAAAGGTTGCATAGGCCTTGGACTTAGATCTGGGGAGATGATTGCTTGGTTGCTTTGCCGTCCTGACGGGAAGAGAGAGAAAGAGTGATGGATCACTTCATTCAGAAGACTAGGCAAAAGACTAGACATTGTGTATGGTGGTATCATGAAGAATTCAAACAGGTCAGAATCGACTAATGCTAAGGTCAGTTTGAGGTGGTTGACTTGAACTGTGTGGCATTTTTTTCATGCTAAATTTTCTTAAAGCTCAGTACTTTTCTTTTCCAATCTTTATTTCTGTTGTTGAGGGCACTGAGACACATCTACAGTACTGTGCAAAAGTCTTAGGCCATTTGAGATGGTATATATGAAACGTAAAGCTTTTTATCTGAGCAGTTAGTTTGTTTGTAAAAAAAAAAACACTAACTAATAAATTAGCACCACACATTGTGTTGTTATGGATGTCATTGTGTTAGCTTAACTATTTCAAAATCATTACCTCTTTTTTATCTAATCAATACCTAATAAAGTGAAGGTGCTGCTGATGAAAATGATATTAGTAACTTCTATGTTATTTTTTTCAGTTTTCTCTCCGCTTCAGTCACGTCCGATTCCCAATCGCTAGGCAGATCTTCCCCTATCACACTATGCTATCAAGCTAGAAGGGTCAAGTCTAGAAGACAGCATTATCAAAACTGATCAAAACGTAAGACGCAGGCTCTTCACTGCCCAGTCCAGTCTCATAGTTCTTATGAGAATGTGTAATGCTGGAGGCAAGCTCATTTGCATAATTTACTATTAACTTTCCTACCCTCCCACTCAGAGAAAGTGAGGCCAATTATAATATCAGCCTTGAAGGGCTCTGGCATCAATTACATTTTTTTTTAAAGCAAAATATGTGTTTGTAAATTAATTTTTACAGTGTTTGTTTCTTTGTGTTTATGCTAATTTTATATAGCGTTTTACACACTTGCTGCAGAGATAAATCGTTTTAAACAGTTTTCTTGGTTGCTTAAGACTTTTGCACAGTACTGTATAATCTGAGCATGTTAATGGCTCATGTACACAGGACATAAGAGTGAGCTGTGTAGGCCAGGTCAGCTCTTCAAGTCTGCATTTTTTTTTGGAAGAAAGCAGACTGAAAGTAGCATTCGACTGAAATACTTTAGTTACTTTGATTCCTTAGAGTAACATTTGAGCATTGAAAACTATCATTATACAACAAATAGTCTATAGAAGCCAGGGTATCAAAATGGATCAACTGATTGATCTCTTTTTGTTTTTTTTGTTTTTTTTTTAATTATGAATATTGCAAAGCTAAAATGTGGTAATTTTGTATTTTATCAGTCAGGTAATTTTGTATTTTCTGCTACAGTCTTAATTCATGCTGAACAACTGTTCATTATACTTTAATGCTTGTGAATTGCAGATTAGCTTACTACTTAGACTTTTACAGTATTAATATTTTTGTAGGTACATAACAGAAACACTATAGGAAAACCCCAGTAAAGATAGCATGTAATTACTCAAATACATTACATGTACATGACTTAACTTACAAATTGACCAGTTTATCGAAAAAATGTGTTTACTGTGGTAAAATCATAATAGCAGATCAGCAGATCTGTAGATCTATTCAGCTCCTGGATAAATTATTAGGTTTATTAGGTTTATGTCAATAAATCTTCTAATCAATTTTATATCTGTCTTGTCACTGCCTGATATGGTCAGGCGTGCATTTACCACTTTTTCAATTATGAATAGATGTCTACAAATTCTATATTTTAGAATTTGAACGCTTGTTCAAATATGGTATATCATAGAGGTGGGTGTGGGGGCAAATTATATCATGATGGTGCTTAGAGACATTTTTCGAGACATTATGTGTACCACAATATTTCATTTTTTCCTGAGTTAAAACAGATAGAAAAAGCATGTTCAGCATGTCACTTACTATGTTACAGTAAATTCAGTTAAACAGGACTAATTGACCCTGACTACGCCTTGCATTAATTTGTGTGTATGTCACATCTGGATAAAAACACGAAAACGCAAACGCTGTTCTGTTTACACTTGTGTTAAATGTGTTCAAGATGTGTCTCTGACCACTTCAGAATGTAGTGTGAGTGATCTGATCTCTCAAAACAGTCCATACAATTCCATATTTGTGACATAATACCTGTAATACCTTAAAGGGGAAATTCTACCGCTTCTTTAGAATGTCTGTTGAGATATAAGCAAAGTTTAGAGTTGTTTGATGTGAAATGGTGCATCTTAGATAAACAGTGACAGTGATGAGAACCAGGGGTTGTGATGTCTACATAGTCAGTTTATGAACTATTCAAAGCCACCAGGGAACCTACATGTGTCCTCTGAGATTATACATGTAATGTTGATGGTATGATGGAGGTTTTCTTTGGGGACTGTTCACCTTATAACATTTAAAAAAACGTTTTGGGCCAAGATCTAATGTCAGAACGATCGTAACACAATGCTTTAGCCATCAGACACTGGATTTGTAACCAATTCATATGATAACTTACTGTCAGGAAGCTTTTAGAGGCATTAATGCTTCTGATGTCTGGTTCCTATCACCCCACTGTGAACAATTCAGACTCAATACGTTTCTCTAAAACAGAGCATTTCACGTCAAACCACTCAGAATGACTCTGTTTATGTCTTAACAGTTAAATTATGCAGCTAAATTAGGCATTCCCTTGGATGTTACAGCTGTTGATATTGGGTCTACAGTAATGTTCCGTATGACTTTACTTCTGTCATACTGGTATTAGATATGTGCACCTCATAAAACAGGTTAGAAACAGATTAAAGCACCAATCAAGATGATTGGAGTTGGTTTGCGGGACTTTTCACAGGTGTCATAGTGGAAATAAAGACAGCTCAGATTTGTCCAACTACATCTAGTATTGTTATTTATCCAGGAGTTCTGATTTCCTGTTTATTCTATTCACAGTAGGCCTATACTGCTGTGTATATGCTGACTATAGTTTAGCTTTAAAAAACATTCTGATTGGAGCATTAATATATTACTATTGTCACTCATTAAAGCATTCAGAATGCTCTTTCAAAAGCTCAGTATGTATCTTCATTTATACCCACATAGTGAAAATGCACATGACTAAATATGATCTATCTCTTAGTTTCTGTCTATTTGTCTATTTGTCAGGTGCATTTTGTCTCAAAATAATATAGCAATACATCATAAATCATGTCAGTACAGATCATTTTCCAGCCTTTGATGTTTATACTCTTGTTGTTTCTAGGCAGTTCTGATATTTTTGCAAATTACTTCATAGTTCACTTATTCTTCAGAGGCAAATTGAATCAGAATTTTTGGTGATTATAATGTCAGCCACTGACACTGAACGTCAATTCTAAAGCAAGGCTCCAAAAGATTTTTAGAGGTTATACTGGCAGTATACTTTTTAGTGACTAGTATAATGCCCTGTTTTTTGTGTTTATTTAAGGATATTATTACTTGGAGTTAAAGGAATGAAATAAAATCAAATTTACATAATTGATAATTGATGATAAATGATGTAGTCCATAAGTCATGTTTGGTGTTCAGATTTTGCTGGTTTAGTTCAGCGCTGAAGCTAAGAGGCTAATGTTGTAAACAAACACTCAATAGTCACCCAAATCTTTTCTGTAAATACTCCCCCAAAACTCAATCAGCTTAAACCGCATCCAAGTCTTCATTATGGTTGCGCAGACTTGTCGATGAGGACACATCACAACTTACTTTGAAATAAAATGAACAAAACTTCGCTGTGTAGCTGAACGCAGCAGGAAGCCACTTAAGAAAAAGGGGGGGGTGATATGCTGAATTCTGACTCCTGGACAGAATGTGTCATACAGTGCTTCCTTTAAACGGAAGTAAAATTTTTTTTTTTTTTTTTATATTTTGGAATAATTATCATTTTTAAAATCTCACTGAGCATATGTTGCTGCAGTGAAGGCTAGGCATTTAGAATAATGTGTATTTTTGCATTACAAGTGAAGTATGATATTTGCCATCATGTCTTTACTGTCCTTTAGTTACTGCTAATTGAAATGATTATAGAAACATTGAAACATGTTGGAGTGTCAAACTTAGGATTAATCCTGAAAACATGCTTTTAGATGATCCTACATTTTAAGCTATAAATAACTCTTTACTCTTTGATGGAAGCTGCCCTGTGTTGATTTGAAATCAGTTTTTTGTTTGAGCTTTAGGCCCAGCGGTCAATAGCGAAAATGAATTTTTAACCATAACAATTTATACCAGCATAACGTTTGTAGCTCAGTTTTAGCTTTAGAAATTTCCTTGAAAATGAACGCAAATGTTGGGACTTTTGAAATTCGAAGCTAAGCTCTTTCTAACCTACTGGACATTTCTCTCTTTTTCTGCATGACAAAACTGATCGCTTCTTACACGTCTTTTCAAGTCTGTGTTCGCTCTGGTTTTTATTCCTCCATATCAATATCGGCAATTACTGAGTTTGTGATTTGCTTTTTTTCTTTAAGAGCAGAAAGAGACAGATTATTTCACATCCTTTGTAAGTGATGTATTTTTGGGGGGGGCAGGGGGGGGATTGCGCATTGGTGAATAAAAGTTTTGCTGTTTTGTACCTCTTGGATAATCTCTCTTTGTGTGTGTGTGTGTGTGTGTGTGTGTGTGTGTGTGTGTGTGTGTGTGTGTGTGCGCGCGCCAGTGGTTACTATGGAGCGTGTTGCCATGGTTTCGCTCCTAAAAGGCAGGTTTAGTGCGTATGGAGTTGGGAATGTAAGCGGATCTGCTCTGTCAAACATTTCATAAGGTACACACACAGTTTCACAAAGGACTTACATCATGTATATCTTGTCCTTTATGACAAAACTACATGTGGAGGTTGACAGTGTATGAACACTATGCCACACCAACACCTACTTTTCAGCACATTCTCACACACGCTTTAATAAACTGCCTGGGTGCACACTCACTCATGCTGATAGCTCCTAAACCCACTAGATATTTGTCCAAGAGGAAGCCTTTCGAAGAAATAGTTTGTGCTCTGCTCTTCACTAACTCATAGTGAAATGTAACATGGATAATTTATGACGTTTATGCTTTGAGTCATGTTCTTATAGTCTCATAGCAACGTCATCGGCAAATTTTGACAGGAATCGGGCAGATATTTCTCGAGATTCACCCTGAAGAATGTTTTTCGATTACTGAACTGTGTGTACAAGTCACAGAATTCACACCTGTATTAACTGAGTCTCTCGTTTGCTGTAATATAACACAATTCACATTGAGAGCTAGTCAATCTAAAGCACAGCCTCCACACAGCAAGGTTAGTTGTAATTCAGCGTTACAATGTATGTTGCTGTGAAGTGGTCTCGTTTTACTTTCCCACCACATGACTACATGAACACCCCCTTCA